AATAGCTTTCCAATAAAATTATCTTTTATTGCAGCAGCAAAATCTTATTATACAAAATGGATTTAAAACCCTGCCTTTCATTAAAATATACACTCAACTTAATAAATAATCGTATTTAATAGCACTGGCACAAATACAGGTAAAACAGCTATTAGCGACTCGTGAAACCACCAGGACAGCTGTAGTCATCTCCCATAGCAAGCTAAATACATAGGTAACAGAAATCCTTATTGAGTGATCCAGGTCGCTAGTGGATCCAAAGAATGATTAACTCCACTTGGACTGCAAAAAGAAAAAAAGTCATGTTTGCCTTTAAATTTTCAAAAAATGAGATTTTGGGATTTCGGAATGGCAAATTTAACCAAACATAATCTTTCACTTTTTTTAATTAAGATTAAAATCAGATTATAGTTTATGAAAATTTTATTTTATTTTTTTTTTACTTCAAAAGGAATTTTACTGTTGCTTTTATTCTGGATTTATCTGTGCAGTTCTCCTTACAGCAGTCCAGTGAGTCGTTGGGTAACCTGTTTCTTGTATAGCATTTTTCATCCTTTTTCATACAGCCGATATTTCATTAATATGTTTGGATGCTGTACTCTATAAACAGCCAGCTTGTTTAGCGATGACCTTTTGTGGCTTATTCCTCTCATAAATGGTTTTTAGGAATGTGTGCTGACCATCTATTAGGTCAGCAGTTTCTTCCCATCATTGCTTTGGCCGATAAAACAAGAAAAATAATTACTCTTCTGAAGAACCAAAGTTTGAGTTGTCAGTAGCTGTAAATCACAAACTGAAAAAAACAACTCAATCAAAAAAAAAAAAAAACACTACTCTGTGCGTAATGAGCAGCCCTATGTTGAACTTTTGATTTATATTATTGAAATAAATGAACTTCTTGATGATATTTTTAATTAGTGAACTACACCTGTAGGTCACACCTTAATATGTTGGGTTTTTTATTTCAAGAAAATAAAACCATAACAAAAACAATATTTGATTGTCTTGATTGTAATATCCTGTATAGAATAAATATAATGTGCAATTACTATTGGATACTGTGTGCAATAACCTGTTTCTCTGTTTGAAACCTAGCGCAACAATTATATGTATAAATATAAATGCCCATCTATATAAATACCCAAGTAAATACCCTGTGCAATAATCCCTGATAAGAATCCTATAATAGAAAAAAAAGCTGTCATGTTTCAGATGCACTGTATATACTGTATATATCCCATGCACCTTTTTCTTTCTTTGGCATCTTCTTCTTCTCTTTTGACAATTTGAGTGATGTAACAAGTACATTTCTCCATTGTGAGATCAATAAAGTCAATCAATCAATTAAACGTCATTTTCCCTCTTAAATATAGCAGCACCTACTCAGAGGATTCCTGTTCCTGCTTTTCTTGTGACTAAATAAAAGCAAAATAACTAAGGAGCAAAATTGGTGCTAAAAATGCAAAAAAAAAAAAAGAAGAAGAAGAAAGTAGAAAAAGAAAGAAATTCTATGCAAGAGTGTTTAGTGCATAACTCAAGTAACTGATGTAGTGAAAGCAGCTTCCCTGTACGGTCACTTGCAGTGCTCTTTGTCCCCGTCTCAGTGGGAGGGATGGCGTGAGGCTGAGGGTCGGCGATGAAGGTGGGGGAGCAGAGAGTGAGATGGATGGAGAATAGGAGGGAGGCGACAGACGTGGACCGTGGAGGGGTGGCTCAAGCTGTTGGGAGCGGGCAGTGCTGGCAGATGAATTACCAGCGACATCTCCATCCCTGCTGACAACCGACTCTCTCTGTCTCACACACACACACAATAACATGTGTCTCAGTTGATTGAAGCCAGTGGCTCGACTCCACACCAGGCACAGTTAGAATTGACTGTCACCTTTTTCTCCATCGCCCCCCCTCCATCTTAAACCACACACACACACTCACACAGAGTTACATATATGTATGTATACTCTCTAGCTTCTTTTCTTCTTCTGTAGCCTCCGCTTTTCTCTCTGAAATGTCAGACTGGCAGGGGGTTGTATGAGGTTCCTCTGGAGAGCAATAAAAGCTGATTGGAGTTAAAACAGTTGGTCAGGCCTCCCCGCCCCGGCATCTGTTGGATTACAGTCAGCCAACCTGTCATCTGTGAAATGAAGGCCAGCACGGGAGCAGAGAGGAGAGATCGCAGCAGGGGATGAGACAGACAGAACGAGAGACGGAAAGGTGACGGTGGAGACAGTGAGAGGAGGGAATGTGTGGATTTAGTTAAGTCTCCCTGTGTAAAGTGTTTTCTTTTTGTTTAACAATTTATTCATATTCAACAACAAAAATGAAACAAAGAGATCCAAGAGAAGCGGAGGGATATTTGAGGGGGTCACCGAGGGTCAGACAGACACATATGACCTTTACATGACCTATTTTATCCTTTAGCCCTTGCGTATCTACCTTTAAGCACAGAACGACAGAAAGAATCCCCTCCATCAACCTTCAATGTATGCTTCATTCTCTCCAGTCTTCTCTCCCAATCCCGTCACCCATTCCTGAACCCACACACACCGTTTCCACCTGCTACGTCCCCCTGAGGGAATCATTTTCACTCTAACAACTTCAATTAACCTTACCCTTTCACACACACTCATCAGTGTGCACAGGTCGGCACACAGACACGCACATGTGCGTCCCGTAGATGATGCCTTCATGGGCACAGCACCCCTCTCATATCAATCACTAGCGTTAAGGTCACTGGGCTGGGAGACAGAAGCCTCTGGTTGCTCCTCCACTGACATGGAAAAGAATGTGAGGATTCTTGCAGCAATGCAATATATATGAGTATGCACTGTCCTTAAACAAATAACATTGTCAGGGACATAAATCCTCTGAGGTAATTACAGTGGAAAACCAAAGTAATTGATATTTAATTTCATGCTCAGCTGTAACGCTGAATTTGGGCTTTATTTTCTGCCGCAGGGCAGACTTTGGAGGACACAGGATTGTATGTGCTCATCACGGATAGAGATGGAATTTATATATTTTGTAAATTATCTACTGTTGATTTTTCTCTAGTATGTGGGGTTAAAATTATACATTTATTCCTAACAATATGTGGGTTGATTTTGTTTTTCTTTCTAAATTCTCAATCGACTTCTTTTTTGGAAGAAATAGTCAAACTCACCTGAAACAGACTTTTGGCTTTTAAGTAGGGTTACCTGATTCAACCTTTTATGGCTAGTTATGATGTCAGTTTTATATCTTGACAGAACAGTTAAGTTTCTCCAAGCATTATTTTTTACATGACAAATTCACAACCAGATGGAACTTCAAGATATTCAGGAACAACCCAAGAACCCCCATGGTTAAGGGCCTTCCATAAAGTCGATGATATTCACACATCAGTGTCATTTTTACCCATGAGATGAACACAGTAGCATGGTCTAAGAGTGTCGATAAAGGTTGTGGGAGGATCATGCCAAGGGCCTGTTTAACTGGCAAGGGAACTGTCGTGTTACATCACTGGCTTAAATAAATGCAGGCCTTGTTTTATGCTCTAAAGAGACACATTGTGTGTTGTTTAGCCAAAAAGACATAAAGAATGTTTGAAGGGATCAAAGTGATGCTTTCAGGCCTAAAAACTTTGTCTGCGTTCTCAAGCACAGTGGTAGTAGCATCATGCTGAGGGTCTTTTTAGAGCAAAAAATACTGGTTCTTTGCACAAAAAAACATGAAAGCTGAAATTCAATATGAAGTTGAGTCAACAGTTAACATTTGGATAAAGTTGGGTGTTTGAACACAACAGTGATCTCAAAGACAAGCAAAATAGATTTGGGACCTGGGGCCTGTTTCAGAAAGGAGGTTAAGTGAAAACTCTGAGTTTGTTAACCCTGAAATGAGGGAAACTCTGGGTTTTCTGTTTCAGAAAGGGAGGTAAGTTAAACCTGAGAAAGCAGAGTAAGTCAAGCCCGTTTCTGAAAGAGAGGTAACTTATACTCAGAGTCAGTTACCATGGCAATTTACTCTGTGAACCTAACCTGGTCGGGAGCAGGTTTTCTTCAGAAAATCCAGAGTTTATTTTGGTCTCCTCCCCTTTTTTAAAGAGGAAGTGGTGTTTAAACACCTCATTGATTCTTTGGGGACATACAGTATTCATTGCACACATTTCAGTCACGTAGAGCGCATCAAAGGGAATGAAATGGCATGTCCTTTTATGGATGATCCTGTTTGTAAAGCCAGGTAGCTACTCTACTCCCATGATGTGCTCAAGGCTTACCTGCTTGAAGTATGTTTTTATATTTCATTTTCAGCTGCTGCCATGTTCTTTTGATGCCTGCAGGATTGCACCTATCCATGAAAACTAAATTAGGTTTAATAAAATACTGTTCTTCCAGTTTCACCTCTGATATTATAACAGTTGGGTAAGTTACTCTAAAATAGTTCTTAATTACTAACCTCTTACACCCTAAGGGGGTATAAATACATTTCTGCCTGACAAAAACACACAAAAGTAAATAACTTATAGCCTCAAAGCTATTAGATTTAAGAAGAAACTTTTGGTACGTCTGTAAAGGTAAGATGTCATAGAATGGTTTTCTGGTGTCAGCACCATTGTAGCTTTGACCCTGCCTGAAATATTAGGGACAAAATACAAAATATTTTTGCATTTTTTGAACCTCGCCAAAATTTTCTTTGAAATAAACATTGCAAAACACTACCAAAATATTATTTATAGCACAAAAAAGTAGTACAGACTTTCAAATCTAAATGTTGTGTAAAAATATACCAAATTTGGACTCAATCAGATGAATCATATTTATTTTAGAATGGTATTAGTGAGAAATTTCTTAGGCGGAGAGGCCATTTTGGCACATTTATCCATAAATGTCACCAAACTGTGCCAAATATGTTTTTTACATCAATACTGGGGGTTTGGTAAAATTACGAGGTCACGTAGCAGCTGGACCCGCCGGTGGGTCCGTAGGGTTCAAGGGGCTAACTACAAATTTTATCTTCAACAAGTCTAATTAGATTAATGTAATAATTACTGTCTCTAGAAAGTATTGGTCTACTTACTAATTTGTTTTACTTACTTATTAATTACTTTCTAAATCCCAAATCAACCTCAACCACTTGAACAATACAAGGAGAGACAAGAAACTGCACCTCTAATGCTTTCAAATAAACAATATTCAATTGCATGAATTAATCTTAAATTGACCAAAGTGTTTAACTAGAGGGAGAAAGTTCAAATCAAAATATACCTTTTAAAAATTTGATATTAAATCCACTATTTTTTTATAGTCTTTAATTTAATTACAGTATTTATATGACTTAAGTAACTTAATTCATTACACCCAACACTGTATAAAAGTAATTAAAATGTAAACTTACGCATTGACTCTAGAAGCTATTTTCACCCAAGCTAACTCTCTCTCCTTCGCCGCTGCAGCTGTGTTGCTTTTTTTTTAAAATACATGTTCAAATTCTGCATATGCTTGCATAAGCACATCCAGTTCTGCTGGTGAGAAATATGCACACCTTTTTTTGTCTGACACTGTTGCCATAGTGAATCGTAATATCTGTGCTCCATTGATAATGGCTTTTTATAGCTGTGGTGCACGCGCTTAACTCAGAGTCAGTCAATTTAGAGTTGATTGAACTAACTCATTTCAGCTGTTCTGAAACCCAAAACTCAGAGTTTCCAATCTCAGGATAAGTCAACTCAGAGTTCAAGTTTTAACTCAGAGTTGGTTGACCTTCCATATTGAAACAGGCCCCAGCTCTTAAATAGTGTTTGTGTGCATAAAAGCCAGGCCTAGAGTAGATCTTCATACACGGTGGAAAATAATACATGTGCAATTCAGCAGAGGTCAAAGTGCAAAAAAATGTATACAAAATGTTTGTTTTTTTATTTGTGGCAAAACAAAATATATAAATCCTTGTTATTTTTTTCTTTTTCATTATGTTTTGAGTAAATATTGTCATTATTTTATCCATGGCTTAGAACCTCTTCTTTCAAAGCCTCTCACAAGCTGCTAGCTGCAAGCACAACTTACTAATTGAAATGTAGCGAATCAGAACTGGTTTGCACATCTTGTCAGTTAAATGTGCAATCTTTGTAGATAACACTCACTTTTCCCCCTTTTTCACCAACACCAATTGTTTTTTCAAAACAACAACTAGCTTTTTTAATCCATGCTCAGGACGGTCATAACTAAATAGGGCTGAAAAAGCCAGTACCCGTACTGAGAAAAATCATTTAGTGCGGCAGGGTATTCCTAGAACTAGGGCTAAATTAATTAAATTCCCAAATTGTTATGATATCTATGTCCATACATACGAAATGTGAATCTTAAAAGGCTCTCAAATACACACACATTATTGTCTTGGTTTATGTCAATTGGTCCTTAAGGCTCAATGTCCTGCCTGTTTTATGAATCTCCCTGCCTCCACAGACCTGAGTTAAATAAATCAGTGGTTATCAGAGCCCTGCAGTACATGCTGGCTGCTTGATCCAGTTTTACTTGAGCAGAGACACATCTAAACCATGTGTGACAGTGGCTGCTGAGGACAGAGTTTGAAAACTACTGGTTTAAGTAGTGAGGACAATGTGTTGAAACCTATTGACTTCCATTGCTTTTCAGTAACTTCAACCCTGTCTTTGCCTTAACCCTGACATTTCCCCTAAACCTATTACCAGTGCATATGTCATCCCATCCTTAAGCAAAATATGTATACCTAAACCCAACATGAAGCAAAAATAGAAGCGAGAACCAGCACCCTTTTTTCCTTCTGATGTTTCTACTCATCTCACTTTCGATCATGATAGTTTGTATTAAAAGGAGATTAAGACTCCAACAGAAACCTAAGTAGGCCTAATTGAATGTACTTGCGTGACATGTGAAATGCAAACATCATTTATTTTTTGCTGCACTAAAATGCCTCCAATCATCCTACAACTGCGGCATCTTGTAGAGATCTCCCTGGGCTTGTCAGTGTGTAATTGCTGCTGATTGGTATATTATTGTGCTGGTTAATCTGCCTGTGGGTGGCTAATAAAGGAACTCTACCAGGGATGTTATCAGTCTTCTGCAGAAGGTGTCCGTGGAGCAAATCTCCAAGAAAACAGAACAGAAGCAGGGAAGGAAAGATGATCTTCAAGTGATTTCTTTTTTTTTTTTAAGAAAGGGAAAGAAGAGAAATGTTTGATACATGTTAAAAGGAAAACACAGATTAAAAAGCAGGCAAAAAAACAACAACCCAGAAATCTGGCAGAGCTGTAACTAAGATGTTCATGTTCAGGTTCTTTCTGTTTGAGCTAGAAAATGAGGACAGTTCAGCGAGCTGGATGCAGTTTTGTCAGAGTTGTGAGCATGATGTTCATCCCAGGAGAATCCTTTAGTGATTGATGAGGCCTTGTTCCTCTGCCTCGGTTCTATTTCTAAACATGGGCTGAAAGAGGAAAAGGTGGCAGCAACGCTGTGATTAGATTGCTCTCTATTACCATGGCAGCCTGAGACAGGTATCACCCAATGCAGGCAACCACTCGGTCCCAATGCCCTACGCAATAACAGCACGCTGGAAACTGACCCCTACGGTGTAAGGAGGTGAGCCAAGCCAACAGGGCAAACTGATGTTTCTTTTTTCCACTGGGATGCCTGCAGTGATTGTGTTGGCACACTCTCCAGAGAAACTGGAAGACAAAAACAAGAAAGACAGAAGACGGACAGAACTAAGTTGTTTAAGTAAATCTCTGCAGGCTAAATAAGAACATAAAACAGCAGGACACGGATTTTGATCTCAAATGTGTCTAATGAAAACTAATCTATCTTCTAAAGCATCCAACACCCAGCATCCGTCCCAGCACCACGGCCCTTTTTATATAAAAGAGGAGACTTGTAGATCTTGGTGAAAGGAACCTTCTTAGGTTTAATTTAAGGATCAGCCTTGGAGATGTTCTTTCCATTGCACAATCAGAGCATTGCTCTTCAGGACAAGAAGTAGACCTACTGCCATAAAAATGCCTAACCTGTGAAATATATTCTGGAGTGGAGTGGACTTGTTTTTATGACAGTCTGGGGGCTCTAATCTGTTTACACAATCATGTCATGGGGACCTATGGTCATCCATATACAAGGATGAGAATTTCTTGTCTTTTCCAGATTATTAGGAAAAATCTGCTTTTGTGGTTTCAGCTGAATTTGTAAAAAAAAAAAAAAAAAAAAAAGATGCTTTCATCCTCTACTTTCTGTATGTAGTTACCAGTGTAGACACTATATTTTATGACTAAATGGAGCTTTTTTATTTTCTGCACAGGATATGGTCTCCTGTATAACAGCACCCCCTGCTGGTGACCATGTAATTATACAGTAACTGAATATTCAGGGATTAACAGGCAAAATATTTTGTGATGGGAAAATACATTTGACCACTTTAGAAATGCGACAAAAGTGTTAAACATAAGATAAGAGCTAAAATGCAATGAGGAATTTTTATGTTAACAATTCATTTTGAGCGTTATTAACTATCTTTCAGAAATATGTCTTCAGATATACCCATATAAGCCAGGTTTCATCACACATTGTAATTCTAAGAAAATGAAGTTCCCTTAACCTTTCATATTTTACTGTCACTTTTGATGTTATTGGACAATATGCAGTGTCAAAAAAGACCATTGACCATTTATTACATTAAATTTACAGTAATGTGCAGTTTTAAACCATAATTTCCTTTCAACTTTGCCTTTTTAAGAGCCAGTCTCTTATTCTTGATTGTAAACTCTTTGGCCCTTCATAAGGTCTTCCTTCTACTGTCTGTGGTTGGTGTTTGGCCACTTTTTTTGTTATTTGTCCCTAACCTGACAGCAGATATATTTAAAAAAATATAGTTGGCTTTACAAGAAAAGCTATGTTTTAAAGAGGAAAGAAAACCAGGCATGTATTGGCCTGTGATTAATCAGTCAGCTGATTTCTTTTTAAATATGTGAAAAAAATCTGAAGTCAAATTTAGAACTAAAGAAAATAATTTAAAATATAAGTCTAAGTCTATAAGTTTACATTTTCGAGGCCAAAGTAGAGAAAGTGACGGATGGATGATACATCAAAGCAAATGCATAATGATACAATGTGATCATCTCTGATATTATATGGATAGTGGGATGTGATTCATTGTGATATATTTTATTATATTGTTGGGGAAATTGATCGTGGACTGTTAAATTCTAAACGTCATTGTTATGATAAATGAATTTCAGAGTAAATCCAAGGATTTGGAGAACTTTAAGCTAAGCAATGATGATTTTTCTAACAGTAAACCTTACCCTGATATTTATTCATTCTCTTTGTATATATATATTTCCAGAAAATTGTTTTCTCCAGGCCAACTAGGTGGCTTCTCTGTGTTTATATTAAGATTGCATACACGTACAGTCACTTTTTGGAATCGCAGTCTTCCCACACTTTAAGTTTAAAGGTATTGTGAAGGATATTTACACATTTTTGAAAAGACCCGCCCTTTCAACTTGAAAAATGCACATGCACAACCCTGCACCCACTCCCGTGAGGGAACTTCTATTAAACACATGCGAGAGCATGCACAAGCCCATTTCTCCTCGTGCACGCTCTGTTTAAAAGTTGCTGTTTGCATCACTCATACAAGCTTACTTTCCAAAATAAGATTTTCAATTTTTCCACTATGTCAGACTTACCACCGGTAAGTAAAAATGGTGACAAGCACGTAGGATGGCTTACGTAAACATATCACCAGAATGACTGACATTTAGTAGGAGCACTTATTTTGATGATCCACCCGGAAAAAGAACATCCTCCACTATACCTTTAAGTTGAGATACATACTCTTCAACTTCCCAAAACAAGTAACTGCAACTGAATTTTGGTTCCGCTTTATTTGTTATGAGCAGGTGATACAGCAACGACAAGCTTAGATACACTTTGCTCTCCAACTGGTTTTTTTATGCCAAATAAGTGCATAGATGTTTTTTTTTTTTTTTTATGTAATAAAGATGTGTGTTAATTTGCTTAAAACCAGTTGGAATTTTATACTGACCCCCCATGACTCTAAAACCACCTCCATTCATAGTGATTAATGGCTGCAGACATATCAAAGATTTTCATGAGGACGTACCTCTGCCTCTCTGTGATTTGAAATACAAACAATAGTTTAAAGGAAGCAATCTCTCTGTTTTCATAAAGATAGCATTTGTTTCTGTTAATAAAGGTAGATTTTTCGGGCTTCTGGTGGCTGCAGATGAGGAAAGATGATAGCAGAGATTACAGCTACTCTTAAAATTGCTGATGAGGGATATTGCTACCTTGATCTAGATTTTCTTCAACTTTATTTTAGACAAACAGAAAAAAAATAAAAAGATCTTTTTTATATAGAAGTTTTGAACTTGGTTCAGAAGGTTAAGGTAGTGAACTGTGAATGAATTCATTTTAAGCCAGATTTAGAAGTAATTCTTGTTAAAGAGGAATTGCCACATTATTATCAATTGCTCCCCATACCAAGCAATGAATAGTTCAACAGGACATTGATGCTATGCACAAAACTCTTTATTCTGGCCCTTAAAAAGAAATACATTTGCTTATCCAAACTAACCTTAAGTTAAAAAAAAAAAATCCCTAGTTAAAAAATATTGCAAAAATGACATATATAATTAATTATTCGTGACCTGAGAGAATCAGAAGCAATAAAAAGAATAAAATTGAAAATATGAACAATTCTTCACAACAGTAGCATAATTTATAAATAAGCAGACCATAATTGGCATTTTTCCAAATAGAATACAAAAGTTGTATATGTGCATCAATAATTTGTTGCATATTCCAAAACTAAATATTTTACTAAAGGAAGTGGATAATAAAGTCCAAATTGGGCTGTTTCCATAAAACCATATTCTCATTAATTCTAACACAAACTAAAACGCTCTTATTAGAACCGTTTATTTTTTCTCAACAAATTCTTTTTGAGCTAATGTCCACTTACTTACTTTTTCAATAACTACTGCAAAGGCTAAATTTCTCTTGAAGTGTTAAGTTGTGGCCTACTACAACACATCCACTTATTTAGTTTATAAATACACAGCTTTGCATACTGAGGGTGACTAACACTATTAAATAAACCAAGACATAACGTAACTTTAATTATATCTTTTCCTGACTGACATGTATGTAAAAAAAAAAAAAAAAAAAAAAGGCAGATTAATTGAAATATTTGGCATTTTTCAAAAAAAAAAACCCATCTCAAAAAAATTACTTTACTGATAAATATTTACTGAAATTTTATATCTTATCTTCACACCAAATGTATACATGTCTACAGTATATCTAAAGCAGTGGTATGAGAATAGAAATAGGTGTTATGGTCGCCTGATGATCCAGCTAAATAAAGGTTATTTTGTTGAAGCTTTTATACTAACTTATAGCTTTTATGAAATCATTCAGTTTTATTAGAGCGGGAAAATACCTCATCATAATTCTCTGTAAGTGGTGGGTCATTGGTACCTCATGTTGCATTAACCATAAATGAACACAAGATGGCGCCCCAATCATGATGTCATTTTATTTTATACCCATCAAAACAAGCTTTTATACCAAACTGAAAAAATGCTTCTTCACATTATGCGAATGCAATTTAAAAGAACTTACATTGTTTGTGTAAATTATTCGCATTAGACATTATGAGTCATTGACACATGGCAGGATATTTACGTCACATCCAGAAATCTTTTATTTTTATTATTTTATTTTTATTGATGTATTTTTAAACCTATTTCGAAACACAACCCAAACTAACAGTAATTTGTTAATATCTCTCTGCAGGTGCCGGACCTGAGCCGCATCTTGCGGTCTGCAGACGTGTCGCTCCACACGCCGCAGCATCATCATCATCATCATCAGCGCACGCGCCGCCCCCGCATGAAGCTGCCTTTAAATCCCCTCAGCCTTCCAACAGCAGCAGCTGCACTTGTGCGCAAAGAGCGAAGGAGCAGAGCCACATTCCACCTCGTGTTTTCACCACTTCAACCCAAGTCGTTAAGGTAAGGCGTCTATAATTCATCATTATGCAAGATTCAGGAATATGAAAAAAAACAAAAAAAAAACGGCCTATTTGGGCTGGATCAGCCGCATTTTAGAAACACCCTGATGATGAGGAGATTTGGGCTGGTGCAGTTTGTGTAATTTTAATAGTAAAAATACATTCTTCCAGCCTTTTAGTGGAACCATCATTAGATTGTTTTGGTTTGGTTTAAGGCTGCAGCAGAGGGTACGCCCTTTATCTTCTCCTAGAGGGGATCATTATCATAACATGATTTTTGTTTTAACAGCATCCACTGAATCTTCTAAAACATTCCAGCTTAATCAAAGCTTCCCCTAAACATCCATGCTATTTGTTAATATAAAAACATATCTTCACATTTGCTGTTGATTACTATGAAAAGCTGGAGAGCTCAACATGTGTTCAACCAGTAGCATAAAGTAGTTGAGATGTTGCCCTAGCTGTCATTAAGCAATGGGCCTTAATAGAAAATGAAAAAGAATATATATATATAAATTTTAGATATCTATTTAGATATATAAGGGATAAGGGAGGTATAGCACATGCAGCAATGCTGTGACCTCAAACTCCTCTCCTGAAGGGCAAATCTGATATGAAGCACTGAAAAGCTTTCATTTCTCATGGAAAAAAAAGCAATGGTTTGACAGCCATCCATTTTATTGGATACCGGAAAGTGAGGAATCACATCAAAACCCCCACTAGCAGGTAATCCTGCTGGGTACCTCACTACGTGCTTGTCTTCACATCACAGGGGAAAATCCAGCTTTGTCATACTGGTGATGCAAATGTCTGCAAGCGGGAACACTCAGCCATGTCTGGCCAACCAGGAAGCAAGCGTCTGCATGTGAAGTGGGGAGGGGATAGTCCTTGCTGCAGTGAGAGCCCCATCTGCACACGATTTGTGTGTGTGTGTAGGGGGCTGAGTAATACATGGGGTTTGTGGTCACAAAATGGCACGCTTTTAGTTGTGATGACCTGAAAAATGGAAATTGAGTTGGGTTTGTTTCACATCCAGCCTGCAGGTTGTGTGAAATAAGTCATCTACTCTCTACTGGTAAATGAATAATTCATCTCTTTCTCATTTGAGCAATTCTCTGTGTGTAATTCAATTCCACAGATGTCCACTAAGGAGAAGCTCATCAGCCATGTGATGAAGGAGGAGCCTGTTGGTTGCAGGAACAAGGTGACAGTGGTCGGAGTCGGTATGGTAGGCATGGCGTCTGCCGTCAGCATACTGCTCAAGGTGTGTATGAAGAGCTTTGGATGAACCATTTAGAAGTAAGATGTCTGCAAACAGAGAGCTGGACACAAACCCAAGACCATAGATAGTAAAGAAAATACAGAACAACTTTCAGAAACTGTAGATGGTGCAAAAAAAACAAAAAAAACGACGAACAGTAAGGTACATCTGAATGAAAAACAGCTTTTTATGACATTACAGCAACAACAAATTATTCTTCACTGCTGTTTAGCACAGTGGAGATCATAATAATTAAATGGATGAAAAATCAACTTCTGTTGATCCATTTGTTGTTAAATCAATATGTTTTAGAGATAAAATCAGAAGTGTTGTGCATTTATATTAACTTTCTTCTACTTTGATACTTAAAAAAAAACTAAATAGAAAACAGAGTCCACATGAATGCATTGTAAACATAGGTTCTGCTGTCCAGGGTTATAGTATGCAGCTTCCCAAGCTTTGAAGGGCACTATGCACCATTAATCCACCATCTTAAAATGGGAAGAGTACAATTCATAAAGACATGGCTGTTTACCTGAAGTAATAAGCTGGACAGACAGTGAGAGAGAGAGAGAGAGAGAGAGCTTTAGTTAGAGCTACAGCCAAGGGGCCTACGTTAGATTGAGAGGAGCTTCCAGGATCCACAGCTCAGTTGGTAGAAACTGTAGATGGAAAGAAAAACTGCAAAATTTAAAAGTTGGCATCAGTGGTAGTGTGACAAGAAGAAAACAGTCGATCTTAATAGATAAAAACAACTTTTGCTTGTTTTGTTTTTTAAAGTGACGAAAGCTAAGATATGCAGTTTACCGTAAGCCTTGTAGGAGATGGACTCACATGGATGAAAGTCTTCTGGTCATGATGAGCCATAATTGAGTTGTTTTGGGCCTATAGGCCGTCCTGCTCCATATAACATCATCCATATATCCTTCCATCCAGTGAAAAAATATATTGGATTAATCGTAATTAATAGCTTATTAAAATAATCATCAACTAATTCAATAATGGATTAATCGTTAACTGGAGAATGGAGACTCTAAAACAAACCTTTATCTGACAGAGCGACCCACTTAGAGCAGCAATTATACCTAAATTGTAAAAAAAAATATGTAAACATTTTTCATTTAAGATAACAAACTTTTTCATCTGTCAATATGCTCTATCCAGAACTCCTCAAGTGGAAAAGTTTTAGCTTCACGTGGTTTAATTTCATTATTTGAATAATTGCAAAATAATCGTTAGTTGTAGCCCTATTTTAAAGGGAAACCTAGATATCTCTATTCTTAATAACCCCACAGGGTTTTCCTAGACCAGTTGATTTATTAGTTTCTTCACACAATGGCGTGGAATGAAATTCAACTGCAACATGCTAAAATATGGTCCACTCTGCCAATGCTTTCATAATGCATTGATGTGCTGCAGGGACAGGGAAGGTCAATTACGAAAGAAAAGTCATTAGAGATGCAAAACATTTGAGGCATGGGTTGAGGTCAACCTTCCAGCAAAAACTACATGACTAAATCTACATCTAGAGCCAAGTTGACACAGCCCTATCAACAAACCTGAAAATGTCTGCTCTACGTGCTCTCCAATCAGTGTGACTGACCTTGGAGTATTTTGTCTTTTTGTTTTTGTGAAAAATAGAGTTTTAAGCTTGTAGATGTGCAAATCTAGAACATAAATGCCCTAAGAGATGGTTGAATATAATTGCAAAAAAAATGGTGGTTCTGCAAATCAATGACATACAGATGGATGCTAGCTTTTCTGATTTGTAGTTGTTAAAAAAATGTAACCCATGCTCCCCCAATTGTTCCACATTAAAGTCTACTTCTGCTAGTCTATAGACTTTATCCTAAATTTGGTATTGCGACCCCATCACAGATCAACACAGGTCCTTGACAGGAATTAAACACAAAAATAATCTTTTTAAGTACATTTGTGTTTAAAGATTACAAACATCAATAAGTAACAGAGAAAAATAAATTAAATGGTTGTTGATGTTGTTTTTATTCAGGGGTTTAAAGAATATTTATATTCAGACTGATAGTTTGAATCATGTACTATTTTGTAGATCACAAGTCAAAGTTTAATAAGTTTTTAAGTACAACAGTTCCAACTAAATACATTGAGGATTATTATTATTATTATTATTCCTATTATTATTATTATTATTATTATTATTATTGCTGTAATTGGGGGAAAAATTGAGCTATGACCAAAGTACAGACTGGATATATTCTTCACACTGGAAAAAATCAAAGTGCATTTTCTTCTTGAATTCTTGAATTGAGCAGGTAAATGAGAAACTTTACCAATAGAACAAGACAATTTACATTTAAAATAAGAAAAAACAATTGCATTGTCTTATTTCAAGTGCATATTATCTAATTATCTTTTTTTAAGAGTAAAAATACTCATTCCATTGTCTTATTTACCTACTCAAATTAAGGGTAATTATACTTAATTTAAGAAATTGTGATTTATTTCTAGCTTGTTTTTGCAGTGCACTGGTATTGCCTAAATGTTTCAAATGGTTTAAAAGCTCTTTGTTGCTATAACTGTATCAAAGATTGACTGGTATGTATAAACTCAGGATCTGTGTGATGAGCTGGCCCTGGTTGACGTGATGGAGGACAAGTTGAAGGGTGAGGCCATGGACCTGCAGCATGGAGCCCTCTTCCTCAAGACGCACAAGATTGTGGCCGACAAAGGTGAGAGACGTTAGCAAAAGGCTCCCAGCAGAGCTTTTAGAAGCAAACTGTGTTCTGATGCCTTTATGTTGTTTTATCAGACTACAGTGTGACCGCCAACTCCAAGGTGGTGGTTGTGACTGCCGGCGCCCGCCAGCAGGAAGGCGAGAGCCGCCTTAACTTGGTGCAGCGCAACGTTAACATCTTTAAGTTTATCATCCCCAACATTGTGAAGTACAGCCCCAACTGCATCCTGCTGGTGGTTTCAAACCCAGGTTAGTCAGGCGGTTATAAGTTCTATTTTTATTTTCTGGAAGGATACTGGTTTAATTTATTTTTTTACTTTTCCAGTCGACATCCTGACCTACGTGGCATGGAAGCTCAGTGGCTTCCCCCGTCACCGTGTCATTGGCTCCGGTACCAACCTGGATAGCGCCCGTTTCCGCCATATCATGGGAGAGAAGTTCCACCTCCACCCTTCAAGCTGTCACGGCTGGATCATCGGAGAGCACGGAGACTCCAGTGGTATGCAAGTCTTTCTAAAAAAAGAGGAGACCATCTTCTCAGTCTCCTCTACAGTTTTTTTTTTCTATTTTGAGGTCAGTCATTCACACACACTCTGACTACAGCGTATAGTTGGAGTGTGTGTGAATGACTTCTTTGGATCTTATACTGTAGAAAAAAACCTAAAGCACATAACTGTGGAGTTCACAGTAAAGTGTTCATAATATATATTTCTTTTTTTTTTTTTTTTTTTTCTTATTCATAAGAATGGTAATTGTAATTTACAGCTGCAAGATGTTTGGAGTATCTCTATCAGCGTTTCCCATTGAGGCTGAATTTTTGCCTCACCTTCTATGAACCATCGCTCAACCTCTGTCAGGCTGGCTGTAGGGCGTCTGTGCATATCACATTTCCAGTTTCTGTTTTTTGACTGTGCCTGTCTTCTAGAATTTCTCTATTTTTAACCTAATTCATTTTCTTATCAACTCTCACCAGAGGGCGTACCTGCTGAAGAAGAGCAGGATGCTGTCATGACTTAGTTTTAATACATGGGTATTTGCTCTGGCCTCCTATGGCATGCATCAGTTGAAATGCCCTTGTGCTTTTTCTTTTGCCGCTCTTCCATAAAGCCCACATTTTTTAAACTCTGTGACTATTAGTCAACCTGTTGGTCAATCTACCTCCAGTTTCCACAATTGTCCAAGCTTTTTTCATGGTTTCCCTCTTCTAGCCTGTCAGTACAGCAGAACAAACTCTTTATTTATGAAGAATTTCTCTAACATCCCTTAGGCCACTAATTGAACAGCTATAGTTACACTTAGGTTGATTTACTTGAAGCTAGACTTGCATAACTAATTAAAATTACTTGTTATTACAACTGCACTAGATTTAATTTGGGGGGTTCAGAGGTTTCACAAAACAAAACCCTTCAAAAATAGGCTCTCAGTAACTTGCATTAATGTTTATAACTTGACCAATTGTGAAACAGTTTAAGGGTTACAGATTTTTTTTCCAAGGCACCATATCACTACCTACATTTCACTGTGTATTTTAGAACGGCTTCCAGATTGTCATGATGTTGTTAATCCTTCTGCAGTGGCGGTTTGGAGTGGCGTGAACATTGCTGGAGTTTCTCTGCAAAACCTCAACCCAAAGATGGGCGCAGATGGTGACGGTGAGAACTGGAAGGACGTGCATAAGCAGGTGGTTGATGGGTGAGTTTGATCCAGGCCTCCTCACAAACTCATTGTCCTCTTTTCTTAATTGTGCTTCTTTGGTCCTGCAAAATAAATCCAATTTTAAACTTATAAAGTAATTCAATAAATGTATAACCCTAAACTATGAAACCAGATTGTGGAGCACAATCATTCAGGTGCAGTTTTCTGGTTGGACCTTGACGCAAAAGTTTACTCTGTTGCTCCTGACTGTGCTCCAATATTTGGTCGTTCACCGAACGTGACTTATAAAGGTGACTTATCCCAGGGTTAGCCGTGGTGAACTCAATACTTTACTTATCATAAAATGTGCAACTGAGAGAATCAAGTCCCGGACAAAGATGTAAAAATTTACTTTGTCTCCACACATAGATAACGGTTGGGAAATCTGTACACAGGGGCTGCTGTAATTGTATATCTAGAAAACTCACACAAGAAAAGACCTGGCAGCACGAGTAGTTCTTGTGGTATCAGATTTATTTTATAATTATTTTTTTTACATCTCAGGGCCTATGAGGTCATCAAGCTGAAGGGCTACACTTCCTGGGCGATCGGCATGTCCGTGGCTGATCTAGTAGAGAGCATCCTTAAAAACCTGCACAAAGTTCACCCTGTGTCCACACTTGTCCAGGTATGAATACAAGCAAACAGTTTTTTTGTTGTTGTTTTTTTTAAAGCCTGATTGATTTCCTAACATGTTTCCCTCGTCTTTCCTTTCGACAGGGCATGCATGGTGTGAAGGATGAGGTTTTCCTGAGCATCCCCTGTGTCCTGGGCAACAGTGGCCTGACGGATGTCATCCACATGACGCTGAAACCTGAGGAGGAGAAGCAGCTGGTGAAGAGCGCTGAGACCCTTTGGGGGGTGCAGAAGGAGCTTACTCTGTGAGGAGCTCCTCTTTAAAACCTAAACTCTCCTGGAAAAAAGTCACAACAAACACTCTGTGGTTGATCCCCGTCTACCTTACCTCTCATGTCCTTCCCAGAGCAACCAGACCTCTGGAAATCATTAAAAAGCAAAGTGTTAGTAGCCACTCAATGATAGGGGTCACTCTTTTATGATATCATTTTGCTTTTCCACCCCCAACCCCCCAGCTGTCTCCGTCCATCTGTGGCCAAGAAATGTTTACCCCTGTATTTAAGGTCAACCTAGTTTGGGTAATGCATACCTACTTACTACTCAGACCGCTGCATATTAGTTGGATGTATCTGTGTATTGTCTATATGTTAGTCTTTTTTGGTGCTTTTTCTATACACTCTGTGATCCGTATTAGTTATGTGGTTGTAACTAGTCATAATTTTTTTTATCCAATTGGTAATCTCTGTTTATAAGAAGCATAACAGAGGCATTCCATTCCCAACAAGTGATCACTGCTTAGTTAGTCAAGACAACACTGCCACACTAAATATCACTAGGCCAAGGTCCTGTGAAACCAAAGTACTTATGTTACTATCATCCTCTGAAGCAAAACTAACCACAAGTGCACTGATGGGGAAGGTTTAAAGGTGGTGGTAGCCTGGCATAGATCAGATAAGGGGGGAAAATGACAACTGTTAAGATTGTTGGTGCACAGAAATGCCCAGAAGTTTTATATTTTACTCAAGAGATAAATTATATTATCACAAATGGCTATATTACAGAAAATATATATAATGATGCTGCATTCAGATTATTTGTATCGCTTACAGAGGAACTGTTCCTGTCATGGCAGCTGGATATATTTATTTGCTGCAACATCAAATAAACCTGCCAGAATACTTAAGGTTGTGTTTTATTCATTTCTAACATCTAACAAATATTTTACTTGTTGAGCTGGTGGTACATCACTATGTGGCATATTTGAGAAAATGTGAGATGAGCAGGTCCTGGAAAGTAAAACTATATTCGTACTCCTTGGCTTTCCACGTTTTCTAAAGCTACAAGGCAAGTCGTGGTATAAAAGAAATCAGTTAAATATTTCAATATTTACAAATCATTTTTTTCTTTTTTTGCTGGTCATTCTGTCCCTTTTTGAAGCTCTTTTAGCCACTACTGGACCCACGCTCAAATGACACAGAGAGGACATATTTGGGTCGAGATTTTGTATGGAAGGTGTTTTAAAAGCGTGCAGACTAAAATCAGACTGAACAAAATATGAGCAAGATTTTTTTTTTCCAACACAGTTGGGCATGCTTTAATGTGTATGTATATGGTAAATGTCCTGTACTTATATAATGCTTTTTCAAGTCAGGAGACTTGACCAAATCGCTTTACACTACATTCAGTCATTCACCCTTTCATGCACACACTCATTTAAGGTATGAACATTTTATTACAATATCTAAATTAGATTCATTAGCACCCATAATTCTTATAAACTTTAAGTTTCTTAAGTACCTTTATGTCCCATAAATCTAAAGTACTCTTAAATGTTTCTGAAATGCAATACTCTCCTGAGATCCGGAACGTTGTGTCCATTATAATGGACATTTTGTTCACCCCAATCTTCTTTTACTATTTAGGATTAGCTTATGAATCCCTACTTTACTCTTTAGTTTAGAAGACATCCTGGCCTTTCCTTTGATGCGTCATGTGATAAGGTACCGTAACATTCTGGAAACCGTGTTTTTCCTTAATCAAAATGGCCACACATTTTTTGAAAAAAAGAGTGCTATGTCAAATAATATAAATCTTTTTCTATTTCTACCCGCTTACCTGCAACCTCCTCAGAGCAGAAGCACACTGCTCTAACCCCTAGGTCAACACAGCCGGTGTGTCAGCTAATACTACGGAATAGGAAATCATGATTTTCTTTGGAATATCAGTATACGTAATCTGCCTCGGCTAAACCAGGGTCAACATGTTCTGAGCTAAAATAACAGAAGTGATCTTTATTAGCACAAAAATGGCAAGGCATAGGTTCACCAGGCTGATGAACTCACTAAGGATTGTCAAAGTTGCAGTGAAAGATTAATTTAAAAGATAATACTAAACTGGAATAGAACAGATGCTTTTCTAAGAAGAAAGCATGTTTCCACGATTGTCACCTATTAAAATATCCATACATCAGTTTTATAGTTTACTGATCTCATTCCACACAATCAATGGAACTTTGCTCTTACAAAGAAATAAATTACACAAGATGATTAAAAATTGGTTTGCATTTTGTGGAGATGATTGCTTTTTTGGTTTAAGTTATTCTAAAATCAGAAAAAGTTATTTCTTATTTTTCAATAAATGTAGTTGCAATTTCAGACTTAAATCGTCCTGTTTTCCATTACAGCAGACAAGCTATAAGATCAAAACAAAAATATATATAAAATCAAATTGTAAGGCGTTCATTTAGGCCTAAATAGATAGAAAATCTCATAAAAACAAGGAATTGGAGGACACATTTTTTTTCATGGGGATACACTAGGTACATTAAGTGCAAGTTTAAAATCAGGATAGATTAAAATTCTGATTAATAAAACAAATGAAAGCTTTTTTTTTTTTTTTCACATCAAGTCAAAGTTAGCATATGTTAGCTTTGAGCAGCTATAGTGCGGCCCTGGATCACATTTTCTGAGATTTCTTCAAACAGAATCCTAAATAGCTCAATAGTTCCCACCAAAATAAAAGCTTGGGCCCAGAACCTGCTTGGTTTTTAGATGTGAGGAATTAGGAACAGAACAAATTTACAACTAAATCTCAGTTTTACTTGAAAAGAAAACCAGTAAAAACAAACCAGCTAACCAAAAGGACTAGATCCATTGTCGGATCAAGTGATTCCTTTCTTAACCTACCATGTTCTGGCTGTAGTCTTTTTTTTTTCTATTTTATCTATAAATAACTGACAGCTAGAATTTTCTGTTTTTAATTACAGTATAATAAATTCAGACAATTCATTAAATCTGATCTTTAATTTGTAATGCTTTACATAAATCTACAGATATAAAAGAAAAGGTGGTCTACAGCTGAATTGAAAACAAGAAAAATAAGATTCTATGATACAATTCAAAGTGCATTTAGTAAAAGGCTAATCAACAGACAAAACTTAACATAACTTAACAGATTGATTAGTTTTAACAATTCTCTTTTGTACCCTTTAGCCCTCAACGTTATTCACAACCTTTTAATGAACACCAAAGTTGTCAGCAGAGCTGAGCATGAGTGGACAGAACTACAACTGAAAATTAAACAAAGATAGAAGTAATCCTCTACAATACCTTAGTATTATGAGAGCCAAGGCTGTACATAGTGAAACAACTATTCAACTGAACTGACGGTTTAATGTGCTCACTCTGAAGTGTAAGTCTGGGCTAGTGAGACATATACTAAAACCTCTGGACTATCGGAAAAGAAAAATGAGGGGGTCAGCCACTTTGAAGCTAAAACTGAAGCTCAGTACCTGACCCATGTGTGACCGGAGGTCAATTTAGTTCATGACCTCCAAAGTGTAAAAAGATCCCCATGACTCCAAGATTACTAAACATGACCTGGAACTTCCATAACATAGTTCATGCAGCTTGCCCCATGTCATGTGGACCTTATCTGGGTGTTTCTGGTTTTGAAACACAATTATCCATAAAGGGAAGGAAGCAGGACTCCAAAGCCTGTCTGAGCGTTCTTTTACCAACATTACTGGAGCCAACTTCGCAAAATGTCTAGTCCAATGGATGGAGTGCAAGATGCTGTATATAAACCACCAAACAAATTAGTGTAAACCAACTTCAGCGTCAGCATCAATATCGTTATCATAAAAGCTGCATGCACAGAGCAGCTTTCCAAGACAACTACACAACAGAATTCAAAAAGATTAGTTTTCTTCTTATATATATATAATCAAGAGTAATTGTTTATCATCTGGACTGTGTTTGTGACCAAACATGGCGCCAAATATAAAAGAGGCCACATCAGACAATACAGAATTCTTCATAAATGCTTTTTCTCTCGCTTTCTTCTCATTAAAAAAGGCAGCTGGTTGGTATACAAGAAGACCGTATATAGGAAACAAACAGCAGGAGGAAGAATAGGAGTGTGGATATATGGTTGTGTCCGAGGATGTCAGTGTGGGTCAGTACAGGTCACTGAGGCCGGCCGTCTTACGAGCTTTCTGCATGAGAGCTCGAAGCTGAAACTGTTTCCTGGACAGTAGACGTACGTGCTGCAACAGAAGGAAACAAAAGTGAAAATTAAAAACATAACAGAACTACAGTAAGCAGCATTAAGGGACAATATTCACAGAGCTACCTTGAGGAAAACGTCCAAATCAATGACACCTCTGCGAAGGGCCTCTCCCAGGTAGAAGATTGTGTCTTCAATAGCATTTTCTTCCGCATACAGATTCAGGATCTGCTTGTAAAGAGGAGCTGTGGGCACAATGACGTCATCTATATCATTGTTCTCTGATTGGTTCTCCATTTTCTCCAGGGCTTCGGTTAATTCCTCGTCCTTTTTCTTCAGCAGGTCAATGTTCCGGTCAACATCAGTCTGTTGGGAGCAGCAAAGGTTCAGAATCATAAAACGTTAAAGGAAAAGAAAAATGTATTAGTAAAAAAGAGAAAAGGGTAGGGGATCTTACCACTTCCTGGTCAAGTCTTGAGATCATCTCCTCCAGCTTCTGATGCCCTTTCTTTAAGTCTTCCTCCGTCCGCTTCAGGGCATCCAATTCTGCCTGTGCTCGGTCCATTTCTTCCTTCATCCTCCAGCGAAGTTTGTCACTTACAGCAGAAATCAGAGATGCCCGGATGGTGTCTTCACCAATAGTCCCATCTCTGGTTGGCCCTTAGGAGGAACAAATTCATGATATGAGACGTTAAGACAAAACATAATTGCACTTCAGCAGTTAAATTAGTGATGAATATTGAACTTTTTAAATGTAAAATTCATATTTCTTTCAGGGGTTATTATAAGACTAAAATAAGTTTTATTCAAATAATTTTTAATCAAAGTTATGTGATAATATGCTTTAAAATGCAGAGACATGCCAAAGCAGAAACATGAATTAATGCAGAATGCACTTAGTGTAGTTTTTAAAGATAACCCTTGATAAACTCCTTTTATTATATCCTAAATAGCATCTATTTGGTGCATGGTGGAGTGAGAAGTGATCAGGTCAGGAGAGCACAGCAGAAGATGACTGAAATGGAGGGCATTATGCTAAATCTCTGTACCATAATGGAAAACAACATGCTAGCAATAAGCACGGTAGAAAGGGAAAGCTTTGTTAGTTAATGCACATCATTGAACCAAGTTTTAAGATTCTTCAGAATCCCTGCTCTACCTCTGCCGAAGACACAGACGCCCATCACCATGAACACTGGGACGTAATTCAATGTTAAAGTAAATAATTCTTATTTCTTATTTCAACCGTTGCGTTTATTAGCTGCGACATATGAATCAAGATGCTATGACAGAAAAAATTTGATTGACAGATGACCGTTGATAAATGATTGGACGAATTTAGGTGCACAGGCTGACGTACAACTAACTGGCCTGCATAAGATAACAAAAAAAAAAACCCCCACCTGTTTTAAGACAGGATTTTTTTTTAATAGAAATTTTTTTTAAGTTTTGGGACAATATGGTCTGATACAGAGAACATTTATATACATGTTTAAGCCAGAATAATTTGACATTTAAATATGATTTCCCTACGACTTTAAATCATCATAATCCAAATTGTGATCTGAATCATCACCAAAATTAAATGGATTATTCTTGGACTGAGATGCAGCTTTGGTAAAACTTTCACTAAAATCACTTCATAAGGTTTATAGTTATCCTGCACACAGATGAACAGACAAATACACAAACTCGACTAAAAACATAATCTCCCTGGCGGAGGTAATAACTTGAATCCCTAACCTAATCTGACGGAATAGTTTGAATCTTAAAATATTAAACTATACATTGTGAATGGACTAACTGATTTTCCTGAAGCTCAGAAAACATCAGTTGACTTCTGTCAGGAGCAAAAGCCAAACCCTTCCCTTTACAAAAGGAACCACCTAAAGATCTTCCTGTTTGCCAGTGTGGAAGTCTTTGTGTAAGATCTTTTCAGTGGGTGTCGAGACATAGTTTGTCGGGGGGTAGGAGGAGACCATCCAGTACTTTGGCCTTTAATACTCCCCACTCCAGTTACACCTGTGGCCTTTCAGAGGCGACTCAGCGTGCCACTGAAGTCACTTGGAGGGTGAGAGAGTTCAAGTAAAAAGGTCAAGGGTCTTCATTTAGGGTTGAATGAGGAACATATAGATTTAAATATATGTCATGACTTTAGATGTTTTAATTCAAAATAAATTAAAACAACAAAATAATGATGTGAAGGTAATCAAGGTTTGAGAACCCACATATTTTCCTTGATTTTTAGCACAGAAGCGAAAATCGTCCTTGAACTGACACAGGTTGACAGCTAAGCTAAGCATCAGAAAGCCTCATTTAATACATACCAACTGTGGAGACTGGAGTTTGGTTTGGATAGTGTGCAGGTCCACCAGTGGCAGGATAAGAGTTTGCAGCTGGGTACTGGTAAGATGGGTAACCTCTGAAAATAGTTTCATTATTAAACAGATATTCATTTCTTTTTTTTTTTTTTCTCAAATTTTAACTTTAAATTGCTAGAAGCCCACTATATCTATTCCAATAGAATTTATTGTTGGACTATTTTGCAACCAATGAGCTCAAGTTTTTTTTCCCTCCTCTCTTACACAAGTTAATAAAGTAATGTCTGTTTAACTTAAATAACCAAAGTCCATCAATAAAGAACAAGATACACAGGTCGAATTTGAATCAAGGTTGCTAGGATACACTTGATGGAAAATGGTTCAACTTGGATCAAATCTCCCTGATCTAGAAATGAGCAACTAGTATGAAACATTATGAAGTTTACAAAATAGTTAAATCAGCTGGTCAATATATTTTTAGATTTCTGATGAATATCTTTGAAGAGCTAACTTTTTTTTTTTATAAAGAATGTTTAATCTTTTCTGTAAAACTACCAATTGCACTTAAGTCACACCAAATATATCATTGTTAACTCTGTTTTTTTTTTTTTTTTTTTTACATTAAGACTGAGTAATACCAATAAAAAGGCAAAAAAAATTATTAATTAACAGCACAAAAAGTCTGTTCTAAAAAAGTTTTCCATTACGAATTCTCATTTCTACTTACTTCATATCTTACATGTACTTAAATGCAGGTCTGCTTTTGATGTATCTATATAAACTGACACCCATTTGGGATCATACATTTTTTATTAGTGCAGTTACATATAGTTAGAATAAAAGACTCATAGGAACTTTGAATTCTGACATCACTCAGCTAAACTTTATTCTTACAATATTAAAACCATTATTAATAATATTAAAGAAAAAAAAAATCTAAAAAGCGATTGAAGAAAAAAAAAAATACTCTGATACCTGGTTGACACCTATTACAAAACCCATCATATAGATGCTGACAATGTGTGGAACCATCTTACCCTGGATTAGGATTTGGCCCGTAGGGCGACACAGCAGGCATCCCAGGCATGTAGGAAGCTGATGAAGAAAAAATACATATTTTTAGAGTAAATAAAAAGAGCATATTTGTGGATTAAATGTCTATAACCCTTTAAATCATAGAGATGTTTCAGCCATGATTTGTTGCCATGGTATGTGAGCACCACCTGGTGCTGAGAGCAGAAAAGTCCTCATGTAAAAAAAAAAAAAAAAAGAAAAAAAAAGAAAAAAAAAAGTAGCAAAAAAACAAAGCAACATTTGAGTAAACGTGAATAAACTTTGATACAAAGCCAACTTAATTAGAGCCACATCTGTAATCACTTACTGAAAAAGAATATGAACAGTAATTCGCCTCTTTAACAACAAATGTAAATTCAACTGTTTGTTTAAAAAAAGAACGTGGAGAATTAAGCTGAAAAAAAAAATTGTGAAATAAGTCAAATAAGTAATGTAAACAACCCAGCATGTCTCCAATCTTTGTTATCATAAGAACATTCAGTATGTGGTTTAAAACAGTAACTTCATTCTTAACATGAAGGTCTGTAAAAATAAATAAATAAAAAATAAATAAATAAAAAAAACAAACAGCTGTCATTAAACAGACTCAAGTGACCAAAATATAAAACAATCTGGAGTTATACTGACAGTCTTTGACTAACTATGCTGGACTGGCACATGTTAACAAACGGGTAAGAAAATCCAATAAATTTAAATCTTTCAAAAATATACAAGTTCTTAAAGGTTGCTTTTTTTTAGAGCAAAATGTGAAATAACTTACAGTTGGGGGGTCCAGCTGCTTGAAAGCTTGGAAAGGGGGGTTGCGTGGTGGGGCGGGAAAATACTGGGGGCTCCTCTCCAAACACGACAATCATCACTTGAATCAGACCATACAGGTCTGACTGAGGCTGTAAAGCAAACAGAAGTACATTTTAACAAGTTTGGCAAAAAAAAGAATAGAGTTAAGAGTTTTATTTCATTTTCTGTATTAACTAGTTGCTGTGGAGTTGGAAAATATTTTGTTATCTATAATCATCACTTAATAACCAAACGTGCTGCATGTCAGATAAGTTGGTGGCTGTTAGAATACATTTTTGTTTAGACTGATTAAAGAGCATGGTCATATTATTGTTGCATGCTTTTAAGTTTTTACCCAAAGATTCTAATTTGTGTCCCCAAATGTACCACCTAAAAAAAATAACTTCCATCATAAAGATTATAGTTAGCTGAAACAATACTTACATGTTTCCACTCATGTAGATAAGGCAGGTAAATTTTGCCATTGGCATCAATGTGCTTTCCTGTTTTGATCATCATGGTACTGGTAGGCTTCACAAAACAAATTGGAGGGTTATAGGGATACGTGTCCAGCAACCACAAACACACTGGGATGTTGTAGACATTGCCTTGAGAAAAGAAAAAAAAAAAATTGCAAATATTTGGTGTGTTCTTTTTCATTACGGTTTGAATATTACATAACCTTAACATACACTATGCTGTAGTGTCCCTATATTCCTTTGCAATAGTATACTGGTTAATGGGATGAAAGGAAATATGCAAAAAATATATATATTTTGTAAGAACAGTTAACAGACAAAACAGAATCAGTTAAACTGTATGATGTATTTAGCCCCAAATATCATGGAGTTAAATTCTAACTCATATGATTTAATGATATTTGATGTAATATAACTTTGTTAAAGACAGAAGGGAATATAGTATAATATAATAATGTAGCTGTGGAAAACCCCACAAGCTCATGTTCGTACTCTGCTGCAGGCTATTGGATGAAGCAACACCAACTATCAGGCAGGGGTATAGAGTTATTTAAAGTTAAGACAATTAAACAGATTTTTTTTACATTTAAGATCTATTTTGCCATCTTTTCAATCAATACCATTATCATATAATGAAATAACGTAATATACGTATTCTGAATCAATTGGATCTTTGATATAAATGTTTCCTTACACCCCTAATTTAAACCTATGTTTTAACCCTTATCAATTAATATGTTTATTTTAGTTTATATAATATTATCAAATAATTTTATCATGGGTCTGAACATTTACTGAACAAGTTTGTTCAAACAGCTTCCAGTTGCTAAAAAAGGCGAATATCTGCACAAATCCTGACATTTGATGTAGGATCATTGTGGATGAAGTAGTCTAATAGTGTTCAAAGCCTTATATTTGTAGGTTTAGTTAAAGACAAAATATAACTCTTTACTATAAAGATAAAAAACATCGGTTTACCTCTGTAGCTCACAGGGACGGTCCCAGTCAAGCTCATCAAGTCTCTGGATGAACCATCATTAAACACTGCAACACATGAAATAAAAAAATCATTAGGTGTGTAAAAAACAAAAAAATAAATCAAGTAAATATAAGTTATCTTACCATAAGCATCCATAAGCGGCTTCAGGTCCTTGTATTGTGAGATGACATTGGTTATCTCACGAACAGTAAGATCTCTATATTTGTATTGCTGAAAAAAGTTAAGGATGAAAAAAATCATCAATTTTACGGCCCACCATAATTTGTTACACTTGAAGAGCCGAACAGTGTCTTTATATAAGCTTGACTGAAGAAAGAGGTCTGCTCACCTCTAATTTCAGTAATTAGGTTATAAAATTTAACCAATCTATTAATCTGCTGCAAAATCCAAGATTAGATGGAAAATAACATGAAAAACGAGATAATATAGAGTTACATTTTATTTTTTGATGTACCCAAAAAAAGATGACAGCGTCATGGCAATGTTAAAATATTTAAGGTTTATCAAAATGTGTGAATAAATCTACATCTTGCGTTAGAAAAACAACATTTATGACGTGATCAGGTGTAACTTAGTTGTTTATTTCAACGCCACAGATTTTTCTCAATCAATACTTGTTCAGATTTCATACATAAGACAGGAGCCAAACGTCATTCTATAAGGCGGAAAAGGTAAATACCACAATGGTTTACGTGACATTTGCCGATTGGCATTTTAAAATATATTTTTAAAATTCAACACACATTAGGGAGCATTCTCTATAATAATCATAACATTATTGTAAATATAAATTCTTCTATCGTATCCAAAGGCTTACGTTACTGATCCCCAATTCCACTGGATCTAATTACATTAGAACAGTCATATCTAGCTTACATTACCCATAGCCGTTAAAACCAGGGCGTACCTTCAGCATTTTCTTCAGGGCGCTTTCGTTGACAACCGCCATGTTTAGTAGAAGTGTCTTAAAATATTTCTTGATAACTATCGGTATCTGAAATGGTGAGATTTCTAGCCTTCTACTGAAACAAATAACAAAAAACTGAGGCTGCTAGCCAACGAGAGCTAAATGCTAGGCTAATATTAGCCTAGCCCAGGGACGAGTAGAGACAACAGTCGCGTTTCTTTAGGGATATTCCAGGCCGGTGTAAATAGTCTCTTGATTTCAGCGTACAATAGATAATTTATAAATATTAAAAGCTTAAATAGCTAATTAGACTTTTTAAAAAGCGATGAAAAATGGAGATCCCAACGGTGTGAAATGTCCGGGTGTCTTCTCAACAACTTCCGGTCTGTGACGTAAACTGTTGACGTTTTTTTATTCTCAGCGATCCGTATAGCTGCCGTTTCGGTTCGAAATATTTACTCACTGTGTTTCAGTTAATAAAGAACATGATTTATTCTTTGATTTATTCTTGTAATATTAAAGAAGTTGTATATCAGACATAAGATCAATTAACTGATCAGTTAAAGTGCAGAGCATATTGGCCTAGATATAGGCTGATAGCTGCCATGATTTCTCATAAAGAAAATAATCTCAGTAAGGGTAATAACAAAAAAAAAAATGTTTATAAAGAAGAGCATGTAGCCTACAACAAAAATATATAGTTTAAACAGCCCTGTACAACTGGTAGGCTTTTGTGATGTAAAAAAATTAAATAAAACAGACAATGATAAATGAATCAAAATTTGTTCAACATTTAATGAAATGCATGATGAGTACTCCGATAAAAACACAGTCTGGGGAAATTCAAATAAAAAAAGACGTGATAACTGGGTTGCATAAGGGCAAACACCCCTGAACTAATCCTCTGCTAAAGCATCTTATGACAATATGACATCCCTATCTGTATCCTATATTTTGACTTTCTTATCTACTTATTTTGCTTGCTAATGTTTTTTTAATCTTCATGATATTTTGTCTCTGTCTATAGGCCTTTTCAGTTGACGTGACATTTGGCTAGGTCATTCCAAATATGGAGTTTAATGGAATTAAACTCTTTTTTATGTATTTTTTTTTAAGAATTCTTGTTTCTACAGTAATGCTGAAAAATTACTCTGTAGCAGACACTTGGATATTTTGGGATAAACTTGGGTATTCCTTATTAGTCACGAAATTTGTTACCTTAATAAAAGTGTGGTTGATGTCAGAAAAAAACATCCAGAGATATTACCACCCCCAGTTTTTCACTCTGGGCAGGTTTTACCTTATAGAACTTTAATTTTGGTTTTATCATACCATGACTCTACTCTAAATGACTGGAATTACAAATTGTTCTGGAAATTTTAGCCAAGCCTTGATGTTTTTCAGTTGATGGGAAATATTCCTGGCTTTTTAAGTATTCTCCCCAGTTCTAACAAATTTAGAAGAACTGTCGCATGTAGAAGACAGCCTTTCAGTCTGTGTTACTGCCTTCCTTTTTAAATGCCCTCTGACCAGATTCCGTGTTTTGTCATTTAAACCATTAAAAAAGAGGCTTCAAGTTTTAAGAGTGTATTTTTGTTCCTTAATGTGCAACCTTCTGATAACTCTTCTTACTCTGCCCCTGTACGTATACAATTGCAGAGTAAGGGCAGTCTGCTGGTTTTTGCACCTCGCATATTGCTGTTACCTTTGTACAGCACAATCATGAGATCATTTTTAACAGTACTTACTGGAAGGGTGCAGAAAAGTATTTTCCAACCAAATCAAAACAGGAAAGCTAAATTTTATTTCAGGTTAAACATTCTTTAAACTACATGCAGGTGTGTATCTAAGACAACTATTATGGTGCAAAGGTGAATCAAAATGTACTTAGGCAGCCATATTTCCACAGTTTTTTTCTTCTTATGTTTCCCTTCCAACATTTTTTTCAGTTACCATGCACAAGTTATACAGTGGGTAAAATAAGTATTGAACAGGCCTCAATTTTTCTCAGTAATATTTGTAGAGGTGCTATTGACATGACATTTAAACCAGATGTCAAATTGTGTGTCAATCAATGAAATCCACACATTCAAAGAAAACAAAGCATAAATGTCCAGAAATTAAATTATTGGTAATAAAGTGAAACAAAGAAAAAAAGGTATTGAACACGCAAAAATTTCTTTAATACTTTGTACTAAACCTTTTTTAGTAATGACAGCTTCAAGATTCCTCCTGCATAGAAATTAGTCACACGCATTGCTCAGATGTGATTTTGGCTCATTCTTCCACACAGTCTTCAAATCTTAAATCTTGAATTGAGTTTCCTTGGCTGTGTGTTTAGGTTCATTGTCTTGCTGAAATATCCAACCAGTTTTCATCTTCTTCATCCTGGTAGATGGTAGCAGAATGTCTCCGTCCATTTTTCCATTCATCCTTCCTTCAATTATTTGAAGTTTGCCCATTATAATATGCTGAAAAACAGCCCCACGCCATGATGTTCCCACCTCCAAACTTCACTGTTGGTATGGTGTTTATGGGGTGATAAGTAGCACCATTTGACCTCTAACATGATGTGTATTATAGCATCCAAAGAGTTCAGTTTTGGTCTCATCTGACCAGACTATATTCTCCCACTATTTCACAGGCTTGTCTGAATGTTGTGCAGCAAACTTTAAACAAGCTTCATCGTGCTTTTTCTTCAGCACTGGAGTCTTGTGTGGAGAGTGTGCATACAGGCCATGGCAGTTGAGTGCATTACTTATTATTTTCTTTGAAACAATTATACCTGCTAATTCCAGCTCTTTCTGGGGCTCTCCACAAGTAGTCTTTGGCTCTTGGACAACTCTTCTGATAATTCTTCTCAGTCCTCTGTCAGAAATCTTGCGAGGGGCACCTGGTCGTGGTCGGTTTATGGTGAAATTATGTTCTTTCCACTTTTAGATTATGGCTCCAACAGTGCTCACTGGAACATTCAGAAGATCAGAAATCATTCTGTAACCAATGCCATCATTAAGGTTGCAAAGGTCTTGAAAAAGCTCTTTACTTTTACCCATCATGAGATGTTTCTTGTGTGATATATAGAGACATCTTTTTAAAGGCCATCATTTGTGACTGAACCAGCTGATAATAATTTGCACTGACAAGGGGCAGGATTGCTTTCGAATAACAGAGATTTTGGCTGATGTCTTTGCTATTCATGCCTGTTTAAACTTCCCTCTCTAATACTTTTACCCCTGTGTCATTTCATCTTATTATACAAAACTTAATTTCTGGATATCTTGGTTTGTTTGTTTTTTATTATGGCATTTTAAATACTTATTTTAACCTGCTGTATACTTTACAATGTAAAAAAAAAATCCTAAAAAGATTTGAAAAGGAGTTTTACTTGGCAATATAACAGGAGTAAGCAGACTCTTTATACCCATTTCTTAAACTTTCTTCATCTTTTTCATCTGTGTATTACTACAAAATGTCCATAGATTCATTTCTATAGCTTCTTCTTTGTAACTAAGATCATTGTTACTTGAGTTTTTTCTTATGTTTTCCATCTAGTTACATTGTTCAGTGAACCACAACCCTGAATGAGTTATCTGACTCATACTTTTAGACAAACACAACAAGAACAACTCTGATTTCTTTATAAAAGGCCTTTATTTACATAAAATAAAAGAAGTATGTCTTTGAATGGTTACGGAAGAAAGTTCAAAAAAGTCTAATAAAGTAACTCAGATATTAAGGAATATCAATGTTTTGTTTCTGCTTAAAGTTTGCAGATCTGTTTTCTATTCTCTTAAACGTTTTGATATTTAAACAAGACTATTTGCATGCTATGAAAAGTCCTATTGAGCTGTATTTGGTTATATCTGACTTCTCTGTTCAAAGGTCCATGTCATATCACCAAAGTAGACAATCAGTACAAACAACGTTTTTTTTTATGGACTGGTTGTAAAATATTTCATGGTGGTGAGAAAATGGAAGCTAGAAGAACCTAAAATAGTAAAAGAAATCTAATTTCCACAATCCTAAAGCATTTGTTTGGCATATATGCATGTCAACGTTTTAGTTTTAACTTCCAGTTAGTTAACGGTATGGGCTTTTTTAGATTTTCTATCCACAGACTTAAATCAAAACATCACATATTTACACAAAATATTCAAATATGTACAACAAACTAGCAGCTGGTTTCATTTTCCTGTTGGAAAGGTTGACCATCTCCTCTGGGTAAAGACACACAATATTTTCCATCTTCTTGTCGGTTAAACTGCAACCAACCTAAAAGAAAAAAACATATTTTCTCTTAGAGAAAAACCAATTACATACTTTGTTTTATTTATAAGTGGAGTTTTTTGTTGCCCAGTGGTGAAATCTTAAGATAAGCTGTTATTCTAAAACATAATTTAGTATTACTTACATGACGCTTGTTCAGGCTCAGGATAAGGACACATTGATAATGGAGGGAACTCTCCAAAAACAGCAACCATCACCTGCAGTAGGCTAAATAGATCCCCTTCACCCTGATAGAGGAAGTAAGAAAAAACGTCTTAGTGAAGGGTGCATCTCAGCGCACAGAAACATGAATCTGTATACATTGATTTGTTTTTTTCAAACTTAAAAATCAAAAGAAATAGTTTTTTTTTTTCCTCATACCTTCTTCCAGTCTTTCAAGTAAGGCATCCTGACTTTGCCATCGCTGGAAATGTACTTTCCTTTAACAATGATCATCTCGTGTGTCGGCTTCACAAAGCACATAGGCGCCACATTGGGGTAGTTTGGCTCAATCCAAACACATATGGGGATGTTATAGGTCTTGTCTTGAATAAAAACATGAAGGAATAACTACATTTCTTTAATGTTCATTACTCTCAGTCATACTTCACCGAGGTTATGATCTATTTTACATGGATCAAAGTACAAATTCAGCTACCTTTATAAACCACAGGAATGATTCCTGTAAGGTTCAACAGGTTCTTTCTGGACCCATCTCTGTAAACTGTACAAAATGAGACAAAGACTTAATCTCCGAACTTGAAAAGGATTTTAATGGATGGCATTAAAGTGTGATGACTAAGCACATTTGATGTGTTTCTTTGCATACCAAACTCCTCAACTGCAGGCACAAGGTCTTTAAAGTAAGTTATGGCAATAAAAACTTGATGGGCCACATATTTTCGCTGATATCCCTTTGAAAGAGTTAAAAAAAAGAATAAAAAAAAAAAATATGACAAAGGCTTTCTAATGGAAACAAATTCATCAGTAGTAGATAATAATAATAATAATAATAATAATAAAAACTTACCCTTGGAAGCATTTTCTTTATAATATCCATTGTGAATGACATTGTCAATTTGAATCTCACTTAAAAACAAACAAACAACGAAAACAAACAAAAAAGAAGATTAAAACAGAATTTAAGCCCGAGAGTAGAAGGAAGAGCTTTGCTTTGTGATCAGCTTCTAACCTGTTTATCTTCAGTACAAACTCCTGTATTTTATAACCCTGGAAGGCTGGGAAATAACCAGCCCTACAATTATGCAAATGAATGCTCTAGAAAGAGCGATATGTGCCAGATGGCTTTAAAAAAACAAGAAAAAAGTCTCTAAGTTCAGTTTTAGAGATTTCTTCTTCTGTTTATAAAGATAATCACAATAAACCTTAGATATTTAAAAATAAAAACTAAGGTGGATCAAATTGTTTTAGATGCCACCATTGAGGTTATATATCACTAAAGTCTTGACGACATCTGCAATAAAAAGAAAAAATACATAAATTGCGGAAAAAACCCCACCAACATATTTACCAATTAAAGAGATATTGCAAACATTATTTAAAAACTGGACGTATTTTACAGGAGTTATATTGTTGCATATTGTTTTACTCCAGCTGAAGTGGTTTAACAAGAAAAGCAATCGATAAAACAGCGTGATTTGTAACAGTTTCACTTAAAAGGAATTTTGAAAAAGAGCAAGGAGCTCCTAGGTTCCAGTCCCATGCCCAGAATGTTCTCATCATGCATGTGTGGGTTCTCCCCAACCCAGCTTCCTCCCACATTCCAAATGCATTACTATTACCGGTAGGTTGTATCCAATGTGGCATAGCACACTTATACATGTCTACTGCTTTTCAAAATGTTTTTCTAATAATTTTTCTATTTCTTACCGCAAATTAAAATTCCGTTATATTCTTTCATTAATCATTTTATAAGCATGCTTACAGCAGAATAAGATTCACCCTTTAAGAAGTACTTTTATATGTAGTAAAAAGAATCTAAAGTTATATTGAAGTGTGAATATTTGCTTTAATGGGATTTTAACAGTCAGATTATGTTCTTCACATAAAAATGAGAACAGAGTTGCTAAAATAAATTTGCCTTTCAAAAATATCCTAAATTAAGAATTTGTACCTGGATAAAAAGTTCCCATTAAAATGTGATACAAAATGGATTTGATCCAAGGACTTTCCTTTGCATGATGACTTTTTAAGCGTCCTAAAAAAGTTAAAACAGAATCCACTGGACTTTGTTTCCAAGTTTGAAGAGGTCTCTATTCCCATCCAGGAAGCTTTTTCAATTCAAAATGTCAGGAATAGCGTTGAGTTTGATTCTTTATACAGTAGCCCAACAAAGCCTTGCTTTTGCTTACAAAACATGCAAACTGAAACGGATGAATGGGTCCTCTCTTTTGGAATGACCATGACCTGGACGACTGAGAATCTTCACCAGATTTTTTTAGTGCTTTGTAAATTCATAATGAGGAAGATTAAAGATAGTCATATATGTCTACATCTATGTATGCACATGAATGCAAAAAATATAATCCCTGTCTTCTGTCTCTAAGGGAGGATACTGAAACCCAAGCGGTCTACCAGTCTGTGCATAGATGTTTGACGATGTTTTACCCTTGCTAATGTAACCATTGTTTTTATTAAATCCCTGTGACATTCTTACCTACTTCTTACCTGGGTATTTTTCTTACGTTACATTCGGGGCCAGATATTTACTAACTCTGGTCTACTTCACAAAACTAGAACCAGAACCAAACATGGAGCAGCAGCATTTATGCTTCAGGAATCTAGAATCAAGCTGTAAAAGCTTTGGACTTTAAGTTGCTTTAAATCAAGATTGAAAATGCAACTATTTAAAGTTGCCTTTAACTGGGCTATCTAAACATTTTTAGTTACGTTTCTAGTCTAACTTTAGTTCCATCTTCTTAAACTTTTGTCTTTTTTATACTTTTATGAAGCGTTGTCATTAAGATATAATCCACTTATTTTGATGTGTCACTTTTATTCTCTTTCACTGTTTCTGTTGCTTCTATTCTATTACATTGTACTTTTCTTTTTCTCATGTAAAGCACTTTAAAATGTGCCATATGAAAAACTAGCCTTGCCTAGCTGCTAATAAACGTCACCATTTAAAAGGTACCTCAATGTTTCGATAAGCAATGTTATTCTATTCACCCGTCAGTCATAACACTGCTATGCCTGATCAATGAACAGATATATGTATTCCAGATCTCTCCATTTTGATGGCATGAATTGAATTCAGGCCCAGTCTATAATTCATTTCCTCACACACAATACCTGTTTAAGCCTCTAGATGGCAGCAGAAAAAACAAAGAAAATGAAAAGTAGGGTAGATTCATCTTGACATCTTTATTCTTGTCCTGCAATACATTTGCCACATTTTTTTTAAAGAGTAAATACATTTTAAATAGCTACACAGCTGACATTTTCACAAAACTCTTTAACGCCTCAGATCCAGTTTGCCAGAGAAGAGATGAGCGAACGAGCTCACTGCACCTTTGTGCAAACCACCAGCCGTCCCATTTCAATGGTCCACAGTCCGTCAAGCTCGCCAAGGTTTCAGACAAGTCAGGATGATGTAGGTGATTTGCAGGCTGAGTATTTACACACCAAGCAGCTGCTTTTCTCTAATGTAACAGGGAGTTTGTGTGCATAGAAATTTGTGGGGTTCAATGCTTAATCTGTGGGAGAACTAGAAAAAAACATGACAGTGAAAGAAAGGTTTTAAACTACAACTGTATCCACATGTTTAACAAAAATTTAGTTTTTAATCTCCCAATAAAACCACCTAGTGGGGTCAACAATGATCCCCTACATCATTTCCTTTATCTTTACACGAGGCGTCTTTTGAACTAAATTTAAAAGAACTAAACATTCACAGTCTGTGTCCTTTTCTCTGAAGGAGAAACGGACAAGTAACAAAAACAACAAAACTGACCATTAAAATTCACATAAGCAGTCTAGTCAATATTTCTGGTATTGACTATACAACAATCAGCAAAGATCAGATATGATAAAAATGTAGCCAGTAACATTTGAAATTATTTACTGAAGCCTGAAAATATGCCCAAGATTCACAGGTAAAGCAAATTTTAGATCCTGCTAGTTAATACATTTCCGTATGCGATGAATCAATGCGGTACATCTTTTTGTTAAATGTTATATCGATCTCTTCCATTTTTCTTCTTTCGTATCTACTTGTTTTAATTCAGTCTGCTTCTCATTTAAAGTTGATTTCCTGTTTCCAACCAGCAAAAAATCCAATCCAGAAAAAAATGCTATTATAGGAGTACAAAATAATAATCTGTAGTGTTATGTTTTTGTTTTTCTCACATACAATATATATTATCAGATCAAACATAAAAGAAATCACCTGTGGTGAAGCTTGCTGCTAAACATGAGGTAATGACTAGAGAGAGATAAGGCAAAATAAACACATCAGTCTCGTTTAGGCAGCAAAGGAATTAGTCACGGACAGCGCAAGCCTAGAAGCATTAAAAAAAGTCCAAGCAACCCACCATTCACCACCCGGCGCACGCATTAGTCCCACATGTAGTTAATGGGGTTTCATAGAATGAGCACCTGACTTGCTGTCGCTCTTTTAAGAGAGCCGTAGGTGGCAGAGAAAGAGGAACAACTTGAGGATATAATGGTGTGTGCGTTTGTGGAAAAAAAAAAACTAAAGTTTGGACTCTGAGGCAGGACTTGTGCGCTACAACAGTCTGCAACACCAACTTCTGACACCTTTACTTTGGCTGCCAGGACAAGTTAGATGAGCCCTTCCTGGACCTTGGTTCCTGAGCCTTTGATTTAAAGAAGCAAATCTCGCAGTCTAAAAATAAGAATAATTCATAAGTAACAGCTGTAAACACTAAAGTTACTGAAATGAAATGTGGAAAAAATGAACCTGCACAGCTTTCCACTGTGAAACCAGACCCCATCAGAGAAGTAGTCAAAGGAGAAAGTTTATTTCCAACACTTTTAGTAGTTTTGAGGGTGGAATCCTATTGCACCAGGATATACTGTACACTAGCCATCGCAAATATAATTTCACAATTAGACTTTTGTAAATAGTGAATGCACCTGCATGCTTGAAATCAACTTATTTTAACACACGTACTCCAGGACCTTTAACCATTTCAAAGAGGGGCTAATAATAATAATAATGTCACAGTAGGTGCTGCTTGAAATGAGCAACTCTTCCAGTGGCTTTGAAATCTACCAATCACAACAAAATCCACACATTTCTTTTACAGTTGCTAATTAGTAAAAAAAAAAAAAGAAACAATCTTTTCCAGATAAAAATGGTCCAACAACTGAACAAAAAGCAGTATGGGTACAGTGAGAAGGTGGAGGTTGATTATTTATGCATTGTGATAATAAAAAGTACAATTTCTTTCCAGTTCTGCATCCAAAATGAAGGTAAGTCAGTATTTCCAGAGGCTCTGTAGGGAGGTGGGGGGGTTGGGTTTCAAGGCAAGAAGGAGCGTGTAGAAAACACCCCCTCTTTGCAACCAGTGTTGAGACCGAAAACAATAAGTTAGCAGGAGAAACGTGAGGCAACCACAACCTGTTCAGAGTCAAAAGCCGTGTCGCTCACAGGTCCATGTAGACCCCAAAAAAAAACAAAATAAAAAACAAGAGAGATTAGGAGACGGGACCAATCCAGTTCAGCGAGCCACTCAGGCAACAGTCAAAAAAATCCTCTTTTCCTATGGTTTTAGTCAGCCATGTTGGTTTACATCTGAGCTTTCACTTCAGTCATCGTCCTTTAGAAAAAAGTTCATTTGTCATCTTTAAGTTGTTTTATCCATCAGTTGTCGACTTCATGCTGCCACTTCGCGCTGTAGCGTTTCTCCTCCTCATGTAATGGAGAGCTGAAAAATGAAACCACACAGATTGATGGAAATTAGATCCCTGTAATCAGTTCTGTGGAAATGACATAATTCTGCTTTGAAACAACCTCCAGCAATCACATTCAGGGCTTAGGCCACACATGTTACCAGTTGGTGGCAGTAACAGACCGTTTCATTTTTGGCACGACTGCCATTATGGCTAAAGAAAAAGAAAAACAGGTTTGCCATGTCATGTATCAAATGATGCTTTTGAACATTTCTGTTTTTGTTTTATCAGCAGTCAGATTATGGATTTGATGCATGGATTAAAATTGTCACCAATCACAAGTTGTTAACAGATTCTTATGCTCATATTTCTTTCAATGTTGTAAGATGAAAAGAATTTTGTTTTTTTTTTACCTTAAACTGCTGGCATCAGTATCAATTGCAAAGGTTATTAGACTTTATGTCAACTGATATGAGCTCTGCAATTTGATTTTGAATGGAGTCAAGGTCGGGCTTATTTCAGAAGCTCAGTGTTACGCTGCTTCATGTCTTTTGTTGTCATTTTTGCCTAAGTTTATACCACTTGACTCAAACTATCAGCCGGAAATAAAAGGAAATTGTAACAATAGCCAGAAAACAACCCAAATACGGAGTGACAGAATCATAAGACTGACCAAGAAAAAAAAAGAAAAGAAATGGCTGCCCCAAATCTAATGATCAACCAAGATTTGCACCACATGCAGCGTCTCAATGCCTTAAAGAGCAAAGATTTTATGGCTGGATGAGGTGAAGCCTGAGTAAAGCCCGGCATATACTGTGAACATTTTTTCCATTTTGACAACTTTTTGCCCGACTTTCAGCCTGATCCTGTGTACAGGGGTTAACAAGGGGCGTTAGCCTCTCACGGCCACCTCCCGATAAGGAATCTTAAGGTCCGGAGAAAATCAAACACGTTTGAAATTCAGTCGACCGCCATAAGGTGGTAATTAGCTCAGTGCGCATTCGCAGGCAAGGATTATTCTTCATAGGCGAAAAACACAGAAGCAGGGCGAGGGTGAAATGAAGTTCTTCTGTAAAATTGACAGAGCGTAGTAGCCATATTTGCCCAGCCATGCCTTTGTCCAAATACGTCGTCGCCTTGTTTTTTTGTTTGTTTTTTTAGGGCTTTCAGCACACAAAATTGCACAAATTGCAAAGGCGGCGTGTTTCACTCTAGTGAGCTTCATATTTAACAGGAGGCATCGACACTTCCGTCTTTTTTCTCTTCTACTCCTTTGGCTTCTAGATAGATGAGTCCGAGTAGCGCCATCTCACTGCGGAGGTAAATTCGACGTGGTTTTAAGAGGAGTAGTGTGAGCAGGTAGATCGCATCAGAGCTTCGGGCTGCACAGTGTGAGAACATATGTCGTCAGCTGTGGACTTTTAAACCCTGTGATTTCGTCGTACAGTGTGAGCTGTAGCTGCGTGCAACGACTGAAAAAAAAAATCGTACAGTGTACGCCCGGCTTAACTGACCATAAGGACCAGAATAATGGCTAGAGGGGAAGCTCTGAAACATAAAAACTATTAGAAACTGACAACCACGGTGGTAACATCACACCAATGGTCTTTCTTGTTGTCAGTTCATTGCACAACATGGATGGAATAAAGTAGTAGGAGGAAGGATATCTCTAAAATCTTTAACTTGACCTTAAATCAACATCCAAAAAGCTAAACTTTGGACTCAGCAGGTGTGATCCCAAACACACGTCAGAACCCAATGTATAACGAATAAACAGGGTAACAATACAGCTTCTTATTGATCACCAGCTCGGCCTGCTAAAGTTTATGGACTAGTTAATAGAATAAGTCAGGAAAGCAGCTCATTTAAATGGACTCTTCCATTTCCAGAAAAGAGATGTCAAACATCCCACCAGGGGTAAAAGAGAAGCAGCTTTGGAGCTTGTAGAGGGAAATTAAACCGAATATCAGATGGTGCAGGAAACATTTGAATATGTCTGGATAAAAGGAACATTCCAGATAATCTTCAGAACTAAAGCTCTGTTTGCCAAACAAAAAAAGGTTGTTTTAGTATTACCTTAAAATGGATATAATGCAGAAAAAAGGTTGTGGGTTTGATTCCTGCCTTGTGAATGGTTTTCTGGGACATTGTTTTCATGCACGTTTGGCTTTTCTAGTCTGCACCATGTGTATTAGTTGAAACACCCAGCATGTGCTCTGGCTTCCATTTTTATACCAAGTTGGCATCAAAAAATTGATGCATGGACAATTTAAATCCTTAAACAGACTGTAAATACCATGACATTCATGCCCAGAGCAGATATAAAAAACTCATGTTAACAGGAGCAATCGGGGAACAGTTACAGAGTTCACCATGCTTACCTGCATCAGGATACCACACATCTGCAGCTCATACAGTCCTGACCGCTCTCATCAGGCGGGTTCAGCTTCCTCAGCTTGTGCTGTCTGATTTCCCTCACCAGTGTGTAGAAGGCGTCCTCCACTCCCTGCAGGCACGTAAAAGGTTAGTCACTGAAAAAGTCCCTGGAAACTAAAGGACCCTATAAGGCAGGTGTACACACTGCCAGGGCAACGCCTTCCCTTTTCAAACAGTGACTTATAGCGAATTAATACAGATAAATCACATCTAAATTTTGTTTGCACATTACCAGTGATAAAGAATATACAGGATCTGGTCTGAATGTGAGCCTATAAGAGCCTACATGATGATATGTGACAGTGAGTCACAGACAGTGGGAGCTATGCAGCAGCTGTTCCTTAGGAGGCCTTTTAAATGATGTAGCTCTATTCTCAGGCTAAGGTAAGCTTGCCATGACTCACCGCCTGCAGCATAATGAAAATGTTCTCGACAGCAGAAATTACATCACACCAGCGGCCGTTCACTGCTACTCACTCTCTGTGTTTAAATACGTCAAAAGTACAAATCTTTCAGAGCTCTGTAATAAATGTCAATCTGATGTAGGTTCATTTATTCACTGTTTACTGTTCTCATATCCAACACTTTTGGAGTTTAATTGTTCAACAGTTAAATCTTTTATTCAAATGTCATCTACATCTGAGTGCAAAGACTTGCCTGTTAGGACTAGAGGATGACCTGCATGTTGGTTTTTGCCACAGAGACCTTTTAAACCTTCTGCTTCACTGACAAAACTCCCACTCTCAATCAGTGGAAACAAACTGTGACTGGTATCGTTCCAATTTAGGCTTTTTCTATGGCATTAAAGGACAAACACTTTGCATTATATTAGACATGGAGTCCATTTCTTGACTACCTAGGTGTTGCCACATCTCGCAGGTTGAGTTCAGGGCTTATGGACCTAGGCTGGGGAAAAGACCCAGAGTTATAGTGTGTTAAGTTATCAAATTTCAGTGTGTATAATTTTCTTTTCTTTTCTTTGGGGCACCTGATTATTCATAATTTTTTTTTTTTTGTGGATGTTTGTTTTATTTTATTTATTTTTCTTGGGTTATTTTTGTTTTGTGGTTGTTGTTAATCACACCGGGCTTGAAAGTCTGTGTTTTTGTTCACTATCAGTGCTTAGTTTTCTGTTGTCCTTGTCGTTTCTGCTTGGCAAGAAAAGGTTAAATAAAAAAGTTTGAAAAAAAGTACAAATCTGGATACAAAGTTATTGCTTTAGTCAATAACAAATTAGATTTGGGTAACACAAATGTGCATTTAAAAAATGTCCTACTCGATGATCTGGAATGACACTTTGAGGCTTACAGAGAAAAAAAAAGGAAAAACAAAACCTAAATCTGAACACCTACCTGTCGTGTTTTAGCTGAGGTCTCAATGTAAGGGATACTGTAGGAGCGGGCGAGCTCCTGGGCTTGCCTTGTGTCTACTGTGCGTGCTGGGAGGTCACATTTGTTTCCAACAAGCACCATTGGTACATCATCAGAGTCTTTCACACGCTTGATCTGCTCTCTGTCAATCGAAAACACAAAGAAATTGCAGGTTAAAAAATGCACAAACAAACGGCTGTTGTTTCTTTTTCCCTGTTGCAGGTAATCAAAGCACCAATTAGGCAACAAAATACTGAGAAAGCATGTACGGTAGTTATATTAGTAATACAGAGTGCAGTCTTTGAATTAACTCTAATCACCATATGTCCATGTCTATAAGTCCCCAAAATATTTTATAAATCATGTATTTTTTATTCTATTCCATTCTATTCTATCCTATTCTATCATCCAGGGAACTTTAGGACCCTGAGGTAGAGCCATGACCGGTAGATGCTGGGCCATGCTGCACTGCTGAAGGAGGATGGTGGGGAGTAACAGAAGGGGGTGAGGTGATGTGGAGGGATAGACAACAGGCAAGCGGCAAACAGCATTACCTCATCACTACAGCAGCAAGTGCTAAATGCTGTGCAGCCTGTGGGTGGGGTACTGAGTGAGAGCAGTGGGTCACATCAGCTAGTGTGGAGTACAGCAGGAGGTTTCTGCCACTGTCAGCCTAGTCCGCTTTCATCCTAATGCAGACGACCGTCTGCAGCAGGCGTTCAGGGCCACTCGTTTTAATGCACCATCATACCAGCAGGTGACAAACAGTCAAGGAAACGTTTCTTTAAAAGCATGCCTATAAAAACAGGCGAAATCTTTTAATAACTGGACAGCTATAACAGAGCTACACCAACCTGAAATCATAAGCATGCTCTAACACAGTGGAGTTTCAATAGAGCTATATTAAGACCGCATCTAAAAACAGGCTGTGCTGTGATGGCTTAAAAAAATACATCTATAAAAAATGGGGGTATTTATTAGAAAATCATGCATTTATGCATTCTGTGCTTTATTAGGGAAATTAAAATACTAACTTGGTGAGAAAGACTGTTTTTGCCAAGATAAATAGTCCTGTCATCTCCAGTAGAAACTGGCTTTCTCCTTCCCTGTCCTTGCGAACGCTACCTCTGCCTGCTCCTCTAATTGAGTCAGGATCAATTTCATTGGCATCGCACTGTTAGCCTCCAGTTGGGGGCTAAGCTTTCTTTAGCTTGTGTTAAACACTACAGCATGACATCACCCTACTACCGCAGAGAGCTGGCACACTCACACATCTACACCAAACCATCAGACTCCAGGCCTCACAGGAGCCCTTGTTGTTCTTTCATATGCATATAAAGGAGCTAAACAGAAAGATTGAATGATTTTGTCGTCAGATCCATTAAAAACAAAACGCACATCCTTTTAAATGATTCCAACACACCTGTACTGATGAATGTCCTCAAAAGACTTGGTGTTGTTGATTGCGAAAACGCAGAGGAAGCCCTCTCCTGTTCTCATGTACTGATCCCTCATGGCGCTGTACTCCTCCTGACCTGCAGTGTCCAAGATGTCCAACAGACACGTCTCCCCGTCGATAACCACTTGCTTTCGGTAGGAGTCCTTGAGAAAAAGCAAACGATGTTTTAATTGATGCAAAAAGCGCAGCATTCTTAACTACAGTGTGTCAGACAGGAAGGGCAGGCAGGAAATTGAGAAGATTCCTATTTCAGCTGCCGCAGGAACAGGTTTGGTCCCACAACATCAATAGCTGAACCAGCAGACAACTAGTTCTAGCTTTCTGCTAAAAAAGGGCTAAAGACGCTGCCAGGAAAGCCCCATTCCCCTTTCAAACTGTCCCTCTTTGCTAAAGGTGGGTTTTATGCAGAATTAGGCCATAGTATATATTCTTGTGTTTTGAAAAAGTATTGTGGCGTTGAATAGCTAGGACACTACACAGAAGTTGTGTATTTTAAATGGCTTCAGCAATTTTTTTTATCAACTCAAAATAAAAGAGTTTGTATCAATTGGCTATCTACAAATTCCTGACACACCGTCATCACGTTTGGGGCTGTTTTGTCCAGTCAAACCACTTCCAAACATTGTTGGTTTCAATGCATTCCAGATTTTGGAGTTGTGTTTCAAAAATAATCCCTTGTGGATTCGCAAAATATGCTGATTTTATACAGCATAAACTGGATTAGTCTGTGAGCTTTGACCACTTGGGAGTATGTGTCTAATTTTCTGACAAGGTCAGAGAAAACCAATAGGAATATGCATAATTAATAGCATTGTTTACGCATTACAGACCCCCAATTAAATTTTTGGTGAGTCTTTTTGCTAATCCACAAGGTCTGTCAAAGATTATTTAATAGCATTTGAAGGAAAGCCTACATAAAGTTGATCTATCCAGGGATCTTCTCATACTAATCTGGTAGGTAAATGAAAACAAAAGGACATAAAACGACTCAAATCTGTAAACTACAAACAGATCTCTCAGGTGGGATCTGACATACTTTCTTTGAATAATTCAGCCTCCTTGGGTTCATAATTAAGGGTTAGCATGTCCTGCAAAAGGACAGTCATGGTTAGATTTTTGATATAATTAATCAATATCTATTTCCTTTTAAACTTGATCTGCTTTCACATTAAATGAATAATCAGGCGTTCAGAGAAGCAGAGCCAGTGTTTAGCCATCCAACATGCAGTCAGACAAAAAAAACATGGAGTGCTCTCCCTTTGTTTGTTCGAGCATAGGGGCCAGGAATGCAAATACACAAAAAGGACATTGTCTGGTCAGAAGCAGGCGTGGTGAGAAAGTGAGGGAGAGAGAGGGGGAGACAAAAAAGGGAGAACATATTCTCCAAGGCTGCCTTCTTGATCCAAGCTTCCCATCTTTTTCTCTATCGTAACGTAAAATATAAGAAAATCTGATGTTTCAACCAGCTAGGAATACCAGATTTTAAATAGCAAAGCTTAAAGACAGCTGTGATTCTAAGTTGAAGCAATCCTGCACCTAAAACTGCCTCTAATGAGACAAACCTGAGTCTTTCTAAAGCTTAAAATAATGCTAGCCGTGTGTGGAGGCACTGTATATACTGTATATATCCGATGCACCTTTTTCTTCCTTTGGCACCTTCTTCTTCTTTTTTGACTATTTGCGCTGATGCAATGATCATTTCTCTGCTGTGAGATCGATAAAGTCAATCAATCAATCAATAGCTCCTTTCTTCCACTTACTGCTGCTAAATTCAGGTCAGCTGACTGAAATAGGGGAATGAAATTTAATAAGGCAACAGCTTTAAGAGTACAACAAGTATGAATTAAATACAGGCAATTAGATGCAAATGGTGCATTCTGTTCAAATCCAATTCCAGTCTATATCTAACCTACTTCTAAGCATCAAACCAAAAATTAGCCACAAATGATCCATCAATGAATAAAAGCATAAATAATAATAAAAAAAACACAGTAGTTCAAGAGGGAATAATGAAATTTTTTGCACATTATGATCAACTCATTGCCACTTCAAGCTCTGGGATAATGGAACAGGCAGTCATACCTCTATGGTTGGGTCATATTCATCCACAAAGTGGTTCTGGATGAGCTGGATGGTGAGTGCACTTTTGCCCACGCCTCCAGCGCCCACCACCACCAGCTTGTACTCCGTCATGTTCGCCGCTGTCGTCCACAACACTGCTGGGGAGAGGAAAGAGGGTTTTTTGTAAGGAGCGTGTTTGTAAAACCAAATGGTTTCAGCAAGAACTGAGCTGTAAGACAGGTTTTAATGCCAATCGGAGGCCCTTCCTGACATGTGGCACAGACAGAACATCTGATGATTCCATTACTGCCTAATGGTGTTAGAAAAAGCAGTCTTTTACATGTGTTTGAGTAGGTTTTCAGTGGGGGGTTGTAGTTTTTGAGACCCTCAAAAGGGGAATGTGAAAAATGTGAAGGTACTCGGTGTTCCGACCCCTTAGTGCACACGAGGGGGAGTGCAGGAAGGAGAGAGGATGGAGGGACACAACCAAAGTGGCAGACAGATCCCCGTCACTCAGGCTTCGGATTACTAACCACTACCATTTAACCTTCAGAGATACAGGCCAGAGACAAATAGAGGAGATAATGTAAGCCACGGTGTGGATAAAACGTGATATGGACTAGTTTACACTCAGAGAAACCTAAACAGCATCAAAATATGCAGGATTGGAAATAATTATTGGTTGTTAATAGGGTTTGAAGATTAAATTCATAGACTGGAGGCTGAAGTTTTACATACTGGGATATAATCATTATTGCAGGTTGGTAGCATCCAGCTGAGGGTCTGTTCTTCTGCCAGTGTTACTGCTGCGATTGGATGAAGCAGCACAAAAAACAACAAAACAACAAGATTCTTTAGATTAGTAATAAAAATGAGAACAGAAATAACATTCTGAGAGCGCGGACCTTGTGCCCCATATCGCGACTTACACCTATAGCTAAAACTCACACATGATCTGAATCATCACCAAATTTGTATCAATTGTTCGTTGGCACAAAGCGCACCCCGTAAAATCTTTTCATTTCAATCTGATCATAACTTTTCAAGTAACCCTTGCAACAAAACACAACCAAAGACTTAACCTCCTTGGCTGAGGTATAAAAAAAAATATTCAAGGCGTTATATAAATGATTTATCCACTTAAGAAAGTTAAGGAGTATGCTTTGCTGAGATCTTACACTAAAAAAAAATGGACAAACTCTCCTTTTAAAGTGTTTTTACTAAAGTATGCCAAACCTTGTGGATGTAAAAATCAAACCATCATCTGCAAAGTGTTTCTCCAAGAAATGAGAAAATTCCATATTCAAACTGACTTAAATGGATAAACACACTAAAATAAAAGACCTTACCTCTGGTTGAAGGGCCTAAAGTACGAAGGCCGCTTAATCAAACAATAAGACTTCTTAAAAAACAAACAAAAAAAACGTCAATTTTACTATTTCAAGGCCTAAAATGTGTAAACATTTCAGCGAAGATAATAGAGAAAAAAAAATAATAACAGGTTCCAGGTATTAAATCAGCAGGGGGGAAAGAAGACCTATGCATGCTGTCCACTAAGTTCTGTAGAAGAATATGACTCAGCTTACAGGGAAATTAGAAGAAGCTTTTACGATCTGAAAATGACTCAAACCAACCGAAAAACAAAGCAAAAACAGGATTTAGGAGGAAATAAAACAGCACATTATTTCACATTAGGGTTTAGCAAGACTATATCCGAAACCAGTGTAATCACGGCTAACCACTAATGATTGCTACTGGTCTGTCGTACCAGAATGAAGATGCTGATTGGTCATGTGACGCCATTATGATGTCACCACTGATTGCATATCTCAGAGGGAAATGACTGGGATCTCAATAAACGCTGTGCTTCTTAACAACTGAATATTTCACTTCGGAATGGAGATAACATTTGTTTGTCACTCAGACCTGAGATTTTTCTTCTCTAAAACTTTGCATTTGTTATAATCATTAAGTAAACTGTACCTTTGGTAATGCAGACTTAATAAATCCTTTGTTTAATGACAACAAATAGGACAAATACGCTCATATACAGTGTGCTTGGCTGCTGTTCTGCAAGAGCGTGGAAAAGGAAAATCATTAACCCGCAGCACCTGTTACAGTGTGCATCCAGTGCATTAATGTATCATTACTACCAAAGGTCACATAAGCATTTGAACCTTGTGTGGGCAAAGAGAAGTCTTCTGTCATATGAAATACACCGTTATATCCATTAGACAAACTGATCACTCACTAGTGACTTCAGCTGCTCTTCAGTTCTTTACTTAGTCAGAGCAGAAACACCCTAACGTCCCAGGGGACGCATAAACCTCAAGACTTGTTTTAAACCTTGTATTAGAGAGAAGAGCTCTAGGTCTTGGAAACACAGCCTCAGGATGAAATAAAAGGAAAGAAATTAAATAAATAAAATCATATGAATTATAACAACAAAAAAAATGCCTTCATGAAGCCAATGAAGAGCGAAGTGAGAATAATAAATGATATCTTGCCAGTGTTATTAGCATCTAAATTGTGCCACTGTGCTGTAGGGGCAGACTAATATTAGCAAGCAGGACGACCAGAATGACGTTAATGATTACCAGGAGAGTGGGACTCCTGAAAACAACTTTAACTGTTCTCGTTTAATCAAACAGGTACCAGTTATGTTCCAGCATAGCATCCCTTTATAAGAACCTGGGTGGATCAACGCTCAGTATAAATCATGCTTCCTTTCCAAAAACCCCTGAACTGTAATTATTAACAGGTATCAGGATGTATTTCTACTTGACATAACGAGCCATCGGCTTGTTTCCGGAACCATGATATGCCAATGTTTAAAAAAAACTCAGAAAAAGCTGAAGGAAAGCTACCAAATCTTTCTTTTGCTCAGAAAAAAGAAACACGTGTAGACTACTAAATATAGCCTGTGTTTGTCACACTTCTGCTTTATGCATTAAAATAAACATAAAAGATGTGTAATGAACAATAACAACATGCATCTATTACTTAACGAAGCAGAATGAATGTCTGATATTTTATGTTTTCAATACAAACGTTTACTAGGGATCATGTTTTATATTTTCTACATAAGGTTATGGAAATCCCATGGATCCATGGCTGATAGGGCACCTGCAATTTAACAATAAACTGGGTCTTGTTTGAACTTGAGTGTTTCCCCATTTCTTGAATCATTCACTTTTCAAATACCCCTAATTTATATATTTAAAAAAAAAAAATCAAATATGGGATAAAAAAAATGTTCAGGTCAAAAAACAAGCTGAAGCATTAAAATTACACTCACTGATGTATAACTAGGTTTATTACACTTTGCATCTTAATTCACACCGGCCCTTTCTTGTTCATTACCAACCACACCTTAAAATAATCTAATCAGCTAGCCTGAACGCTCCACTTCTGTCATATTCATTTTAGACAATAAAAAAAATGTTATCAGTATGTGCCCACCCAGGGTAAACATCACAAATGGTTCAACTCTCCGTATCTCCGTTTACAGTATCCAAACATTAAATGACACAAGTGATTATAATCGGGTTTTAATAGAACTGGATTACTACTAGCAAATGATGAGGAAAATAAACCAAGCACACTTTAGTATGGGTAATAAGGTGTTATGAAAACTTTAACACTTGAAATCCCCAAAAATTCACAGTCATTCTAAGGAAAGCTCTACTGTAGAGTTTTACTCTGTCATCATTAGGTCCTTGTAACTTGATCTGTTATGCAATAGTGGTTGGCAGACTGAGTGTGTTGAAATGGACAACGTCCCATGTCGAAACACAAATCATACTATCAGTCTGACGTAGGGCTGCAGCTAAAGATTGTTCTGCAAATTTTTAGATTAATCGATTAATAATCAGATAGCTAAAGGTTCTTTAAAGACAATATTTTATGAAATTAAGTTTGACAGGAGAAATTTTTTTATCTTAAATGCAAAATTTTAAAGGTACAGAGGATGATCTTTTATTTCCAGGTGGATCTTCTAAATAAGTGGTCCTTTAATTGGCAATCATGCTGGTGATATTTTTACGTAAGGCCATCCTATGTGCTCGTCCTGTTAGCTATATTGATCTGCACATGAGCACATATGTGTGGTGTACTACGCTTTCAGACGGTCATTGAAGCTCGCCTTTCTCATCGTGGTTCTTTGAAAAATGCTCTTAACACTGCGGTTATTTATGCCCATGCAACTATTATGCCAAACTTTTTTCTTCCACTTAACTTTTCACCCATACATTGCATACAGCAGCCTACACACAAACAACTTATTTAGCTTTAAAGTTTTTCCTGCAAAGCCGGCATGTTCTAGGTGCCCAGAGCCATAATTGTGTCCATCATAACATGCGACACATCCTACTAGTTCTGTGTAACGACCAAATTTTGTGAGAAACTGGAATCCTGTTTTGGTCAACTTAAAGGCATACTTATAAAAGCAAAAGAAATAAATGGTTTAATGCTATGTTTAGTGAAATAATAGGCTCTATACGCTATATTTAATACTCTATATGGTTATACTCTATTTTTTTCTCTAGTCATCATGTGGTCTAGAACCCTCCTCCTGCATTATGGCATCACAGTTACAAAAAAGTAGCCCAGAGAAGGCAGTAAAAGCCAATCGTATCAGCGAATCGTGACGTTTCGTAAGCTGATAAATCAAACCTGTACCCGTCGGGAGAAAAGCATAGACATCTTGGTCATCAACAAATGCACATTGCTTCTCTTTGCTCCTTTTTTTTAAATGAGAAATTGTCATTATCTTAGCTGAAACTGGATCAATTGCAGTATCGACAGCTGAGTCATACAGCGTAGCCACATTTGTAGTGTCCCAGAAAGGCCCTTCTGACTTTGGTCATTCCTACATGTCCCGCCCCAAAAAACACTGCTGGCATGTCGTTGGTCCGACCCGCAGGTTGTTACGAGACAGACATATTGGCGGGAGACTTTCAAGATGGATTTGTTGCGAGACTGAAAACTCAGATCTCGTGACAATCCAGCTTGTAGCGCAAGGTTATAGCAATAAAATCCAATCCTCATTTGTTGGATCATTTTGTAATTAATTTCAGTTTTGTATAAGCCTATTTTACATACATGCAAAAATGCAGCAATCTGAGCTCAAATTGTTCTGGGTTTGAACAAGACAAAC